ACATCAACGGTTAGATGACGCCGTTTATGAACCCCACCAAATAGCAAGACGAACTTAGCACACACTAACGCATGATCGGAGTCCAGACATGTGCTCTAGAAGGAGCGGCAGTCTTGTATGCATCCTCGCCACCCGAAACTGACAGCATATGTTCAATCCGAGTCCAAGCTTGATTTGCAGAGGGAGGACGCCAGGTGGCTCTACGGCGATGGCTGTGCCGGATGTTGGTGCTGGCCAGAAATAGGTTGTGATATGCGCAAAGCTGCAGAAGATGGACCTCATTATCTGACCTGTGACCATGTAAACCCCACTGACTACCTAGACGATTCTCCTCTGAGCTTAGACGCCCAACGTGTGCATTCAAGTCCCCAGACAGCACTACGATATTCTCTTGAACCGCCTGTTTCAAGAGATCGCTCACTTGGTAGTAGAACTCATCCTTAATAGCATCCGAACTGCAATCCGTCATTGCATCTGCAGAGACAACAAATAGACACCGTCCATCTGGCCTACCACACTTTACTTTCGTAAAGCCTTCCAGTCTCACAGCACATAAATTGCTGTTAATGGGGATCCAGTTGAGTAATGTAGCTACGGCTGTAGCGCTTATTGCGACACCGACACCAGGTACGCCGGATGCCGAAGCCACAGGGTCCATGGAGGAACGCAGGTGGTACATACTACTAGAACTTTCAGATAGAGATGATAATCGAAGCAAACAAGGTTAGTTAGTTCATCCCTGACACTATTTTCATCGCATAAAATACGAGCTAATTTAGCAATTTAATCCGCATGAGGCTCACCACAGCAGTTATTATCCAGTTAAACATGCAGAGAAGTATTAATAATTCAGCGACCGGTTGATTTTTGATTCTTTTTGGTCTGGAACCAGAATAACTGCGAACCAATCCATACAAAATGTCGAAAGAGGCATGCAAGGGCAGAATTTTACCATCGAACGGGTCAGTGGGATCTGAAATGCGGCTGTCAGCATATTTCCGTTATTTCATAGATATCCAGGTTTATTAGCACTGTATATGTAGTGATTTGGATTTGTCATCATGATCGACATATGGATGAATATTCAAATATGGGATAATTCAGACGAAATATTCTTTTAGAAATCGCTAGGACATGGCAGGACTAGGATTGGTCAGAAGAAAGAATTAATCCAAGATACTTAACGTCAGACTTAATTTATATATCACTATCATCAGTTATACAATGATCATAGAAATTAACAGCCTCATTTTACTTTCTTTTGCATCGGAAACTGAAATTAACAGTCTGACTTTTGGAAGGATTCAGTTTAAGACCAAAAGACAAAGACCATTTACTGACTCCTGATAGAAAGCTGTTCATCTTAGTAAAGTCTAGCTGGGAGTTAACAGGCATTGAAAAAGTTAGATCGTCCGCATACTTAACAAAGTTCATTTCGTCAAAGTGAGCAACTATAACAAGCTAAGCCAGACGATCCTCTTCCTGCTCCGACAGAGCTACGTCAGCGTTTCTTTCTGTAAAAGGAGAGGAAGAAAAGTTATTTAGTGGCATTATGTTGGTTTTTATCTCATTACACTTAGAGTGTGTCGCAGTCCGATCACATGACGCGGAAACTAACATGACTTGTTACAAAATGAGAATTTCTATCAATCCAGAGAGCATATAACACAATTTCACGAAACATTGTTCACGAAACAGTTTACCAAGCAACCAACATAAGTCCAGCCCAGTAAAAATTACTGCCCAAGGTCAAAAATTGCTCTTACTTCGAATAATGATGTAGAGAGGTGAAAAAGGGAACGTTTTGCAGTTAGCCACCCATGGCACCGTCTTGGGACACCAATCCATACACGCCACGCAGCCGACCTGAAATCCGAGAAGCATACAAATTAAACGTAAGAAACTGCTTGAACCTTTCATTGAGAGTTAACCTACAGTGCAACTAGCACAGAAGAGTAGCGCGACATGGCATCCAAACATGGCCAATACATGCCCATTAAGACACCTAAACATCCCCAAGTGCAGTAGACTTTAACTTATCTAATTTTAAGTTGATTCAGTTTGATCCACTCATGTTATACCTAAGTTATTTTTGGTGCTGTGATAAGTGCATTGCAGTCTCAAGAAAGCAGCCAGATAGCTCATGAAGGCCAGATACCAACGGCGTTGAGGAATCACCCAGATACATTCCAGTAACTGTCGCTTTTCATGAAACACGTCGTTTAGAAAAGAGTGATAGACTTCAGTTTCGCAAACTGTCCTTCCACTTTTATGTTTACGAGATCGTCCGGGACCTGCGGTTCAAGAGCTTAACCTGACATCAAAGGAGCCAGTGAGGCCCAAATGGTTGGTTTTTTTCTAAGACACCAATTTGTTCCTCGCATACTAGACGTTTAACCATCTTGGCCAGGGATATTCGTGACGGATGTGTCCCACATTGATTTCAAAAGCTGCAGATTATGCTGATGGCAAATTCCTCATGTATATGAGGGTCTCTTCTCAGCGTAACCTGCGTCATCAATAGAATGCATTTTCTGGCATTATATGTACGTTCAGGCTGCTCTTAGGGACTCATGATCCCTGATGTTGCATCGCTTCGCATTTCTGAGCACTGCATGTATGCTCTAACTGAAGCATTATTTTTGCTAATGTGTTAGACGGAGTTCACAACATTCTTGTTTTCCCTTCCAAATACGGTGGCATTGGACGAAAATCAGATGAATCACGAAAACCGACAAATGAATATGAAACAAATTCTTTTCAGTTAGGAGACCAGAAGGCTGCTCATTACCATCACACCCATAAGAAGTTTAACTAGTGACGCTAGGATAGACTTTTGACTTCCGGCTCGTTTTTACTTGAGGACTCATAACCTCACTAGGGGCTAAGCTGTAACGATAAATAATTTCCCCAAATCACTAGTCCAGAGCATTCGTAACTGACCTTTATTGTTGAAGTCAAGTAAACTGGGGCATCGTTCGCTTCCAAAAATGTAATTACACCAGTGGGCTTGGATTGTGACATGTTCTCACCAGTGGCCTTATTGCATATTACCTGAGATTGTAGTATTGTGGTCCACTGCTATGGCGGTTCGACGACAAGTTGCATTGCGTTATATTCTTTTCGACAGAAATTCCGCATCAGGAGAGTTCTTCTGACTCACACATTGTAGGCTGCATTGTATTCTTGAACTGCGTTACATTAGTTGTGCTTTTATCAGAAAATGTCGCTTGATACTGATGCCATTCTTTTATCGCTTGATACTGATATTTGTGCAGTATAATGGATTAAAGACAGTAATTTCAAAAGTCAAACGTATGTTATTGAACTTCCATGAAATCTTGCTGGTATATTTTGAACTACTTACTGAGACGCCCGAATACCCACCTGATAAATGTAGAGCCATTTCAAAAAGGGGATATGCTGTATAATCGCCTTGATGACTCTTTAGTTTGGCTGGCCTAACCTGGAGACAAGGCTACTCTCAACATTGCCTTAACTGGAGAAGGGAGAACGTAACCCCTACTACTGTATTTATTAACGATGGTATGAAGGTAGTACAGAGATTTACAACCACGCCGCAATGCAGACCTGCGGTCTCGTTCTTTGAAAACACGCATGTCTGCAGTCCGATTCAGGCAGCACACATAGGTATATATTGAACCCTGAGCGCTGAATGGCTGAAATTGAGGTGAATGTACGAACTTCTTTAACCTTCTGCAAAGGAATTCAAATCTAGGAAGTTCTTGTGTTGTGCAGAGATTCAGCCATCTGTACTGAATCTTTGAGGAGAACACCTCTTCAGTCTATCAAATGAAGTGTTTCAGAATTGACGGATCCATGGAAATTGTATAAAGAGCGGATGAGAAGCTTCCTCCGTCCCAAATGCAGCTAGAAAATCCAACGAAATGACTTCCATGACAGATCTGTAGGAATGCCGCTACTAGTGTTAAAACAGGCAAATCTGTCGCTCAGTGTAACTCTCGATTAGTCGGTTTCCCTCTTCTTCTGTTAATTTTGTCCCACACCCAGCTCCTATAATCATGGCATGGGCACAGACTATTTGAAATACGTGATCAGAATGTGTACGGCGCCACAACCCATAGGTACACTTACATCAGATCTCTGACGGCCCTGTTAAACCAACGCAGTGTCTCATGCGTACACTTAAAAACTCAGTGATCTGCTGCTTACTAGTAGACACGCCAACAGCTTGTAAAAGCAATAGGGAAGAACAGGAGTTAGGTAGCGGAACTATGGAAGGAAAAAGTGCAGGTAATGGATGAAGAAACCATGTATTTTAGGGATCAACTACCTGTAGATATTGAATAACCTGAAAACAGCCAGAGTCCCCCAAGGTGCTATTGTTGTGAGTCGTGCAGCAGCCACTGAGAGATAACTTCTCAGATAACCAAAACTCGAGTGCACTCACACATCATTTCGCCACACTTATTCTACTCCCTCAGTGCTTCATTGGAAATTGTGGTCATCGAATCATTATTAAGGGGGTATTTGTTAGCATTAACGAGCCCACAGTTTAAATTCAGTTGTCTGCCATACAGACTAAATAGATATAGTCGTCCTCACATGAATTTTTGTCAACAGCAGCCTTAATCCAAACTCACCCAACAATTTTTTCTCGTCAACGTTCAATGCATAATAATTTAATTTTCTGTTTCTTCGGCATATTTTACTTTTTCACAATAGATTTCGTTGTCATGACAGTCATTTTTTTTCGACTTCTAAATATAGCAGACGACTTAGTAGGTCTAACCATGGAAACGACAAATGTCGACTATATGAGAATAATGGTCTCAAAAAAACTACTAGACTACCACACGACCATCCCTCAGGGGTATACCAGAGCCACAACAAAGACTGAAAAGGACAGTCTTCATAATTCTACTGTAGACGAAGAACAGTTCGCATTAACTATTTTAGTAGTCCGCTTTGCATATTAGGAGCATGACAAATTTGTTTGGAGTCGATCTCAAGGTCGACCTAATGCGAAGGACGGCATGGTTGCACAAATTCAACCTGTTCAGCATTACTTAACAACATGCTTCGGTAACTGTAAATAATAGATGCCACGACCGTGTAACTCTAAACTATAGCAACCTAAAACGAAACTACCTCCAGCAACGAATCAGATGCGTAAGAAGTAGAAGTGCGTAATTTGAAATAAACGCCCATGTACAAGTAATGCAATATTGAAAAGTGGTTACTTGTATATGTTCCAAGAAAACCTAATTTCTCACAGGAGTCCTCATAGTCAGGTTAAGCCAATATCTGTACATAAATTCATCAGTGTCATCAATCCGTTCATTGGGTAGTTTCGCTTTGGGTTGCTATAGTTAAGAGTCACCCCAACACATATATTCTCTCCGAATCAGTTTTATTATATTTATTTCTGTTAAAGAAACTTTTCTACACAAGAAGTCCTCTTCCACTAGATGACTTCGGCTAGTTGTTCCGATTCATTCTGTTAGTCCTTGAGTGTTGTGTGATTCCTCACAGCTGTCAGCTAATCGGAAACTCAGTCCCTGGAACTGAGTCTTCGTTGTTACTGGGGATTTCCTAACAAACACGTTTTTACACTATTGTGTGCTTCATTGTTCTTAGCTCTTGTTTCCAAGTAGCAAGAACTCCAGGTTTACTACAGAAAGTGGGACATGATGGGCACTTCTCTGCAGTGGACCCAAAGTTTTCACACTGCGTTGGAGTCAGTGTTAGCTGGGTTGTTTTCTCCTTGCAATAATTTAGACCTTTGGTTTCCGGGGTCATGCTGTTGGATCTTTATCATTAGTTTGCATTCGCTATCTCCCACTTTCCGGCTTAGTTGAAGAATGAATCCAGTTTTCGCATGACTGAATTATTCATTCGCCAGTTGTGCGGTAGTAATTTTATTTGTCATAATAGAGGTTGACAAATCTTTCTCATCTCTCGAACTGAGTTTAAGCAGTGGGCCTCGATGGTGTGAATCCAGAGGCGCCTAAGGATGATGATGAATTATTGTCTGGGTTAACTAACAAAATCAGTAGTGTGTGGGAATCTGAGACATTTCTGTTGGAGTAGTGGGTATCTTTGATTGTCCCAGTTCATAGAGGGAGATAAATCAGCCATGTAAACGCTTATGGAGCGTTGGCATGAGAAGTAATAACAACCAGTGTTGTCCTTCGGGGATGCCCAATGTTCACACTTTTGTTTTAGCTCGTCGTAGATGCACTAATAAATGTGACCCATCCTGTAAAATAAACACTGCTACTGAAACTTCAAGCCACTAGCTTGAAGCCCTATGTTCCACTGGGGAACGTGAAGGAAGAAAAAAGTGGACTTAAGCCATTTGGAGGCTAGCTAGTCGCCAATCAACGGTCTCGTGGAGGTAGAGTGTGGGTGATATAGTCTTTCAACGTGGATGCGTTAAAAAAGTGTGGTCTTGTGAATACCTTAGTATGTTTGGCAGGCGAGTCGCCTCTGCCAAACGTAAAATGATTCAGGACTGGTTTGCATCAAATTCTGGATTAGTGATAGGTGAGATCGTTGCATGTGTTGACCACTTCGCTTATATGGGAAGTTGCTTGAGCTCTAATGGACTAATTGCTAGTGAGATATCAACATGGAGAAAAGAGTCATATCTGTCGTAGATATAACATCCAGTTTCTGCAAACATGATGTGTACCGCTGAGGTGTTCGCTTTATCATTCTAAATACCTGTGAGAGATAGCTGTTGACATTTGCAGACATGAAATTACTAGCCTTCTTTGACCATAGGTGTTTGTGCGCAGTTTCCCGTGTTGTGCAATATAATGTGTAATATTGAGGTTAGGAATAGAGTTAAGTGAGGAGGGGAAATCAGTCAATGTGGTTGTGAAGCTACAATGGTTGAGACGGTCAAGACACGCATGCTGAGGCCTCACCTTCCTGACCGGTTAATGTCAGCTGACAGGGATAAGGTGGAAAAGGGTTAGGCATGGTTACGTCAAAACCTTGTATCAGCTTATGAAGTCTTTAAATGTTAGTGTTAGCCACACAGGTGAGTATTGACTATGTGTTTGAGTTCATCAAAAGGCTGTAGACTTTCGGTGATATGGCATAAAGTCGTTCTCAATGTCACAAATGGGACGTACCAGATCTATCGATTTCTCACTATTTTCCCTGTATTTTTTCTTTCTCCTGTTTATTTTCGTCCATTTGAGTGCTTTTGAATTCGAAAACTGAGTCAGCTACACCCTTATTAGGCAAGTCGATATTTGATCTTATGTGATCATAGATATCAGTTTTGTGTGCTTCTGGATAGTGGAGAAACATGCTTGGTGATATGAAAATTACGAAATCTTGTAGTCATTTCAGCCGTTCAGATGTAAACTTTTAGAGTAAGCGTGATCTACATTTACTGAATAGCATGTGAAACTGAGGTTCGGAGTTTGTTAGCTACTCTTTCGTTCTTTACAACATAAGTCAGTATTTTATTGTGTTTTAATTGATTTTTTTCTTGGTCATTTTCCAGAACCTGTCCATCCAGAGTCCGCTGACTAACCACTTGTTGCTGGTTACCCATCTCTGCAGAAATTCTTAAGAGCTCATAATGGTTACGCATAATGATATTTTGGATATTATAAAGGTTGGGAAAAATAAATGTTATTTAATCAGTACGTTAGCCAATTAAACGTGGTGAAAATGATGCCTCAGTTGAATTTCCTTTTGAGCGAATTTCACGTTATTTGCTTCTTGGTAAGTGAAAATGAAATAAGCTCTTGTTACGTTTTTAGTATTCATTCGTAGTAATGAAGTTTTGCAATTCTAATAAGCTTCAGTTGACATAATGAAGAAATACAGGTAGTATTAGATAGCTGTAGATATTTTTGTTTCAGAATCTGACAGTCTGTGAAATGTTAGTAGCCCGGTTTTGTTGGAATTTGTGTTCCAAACCTCGATATCGATTTCCTATGGGTACATAAATTTCTTTCCCAATACGAACTTATGACAAATAACACATACTTACAAGTTAGAATTAATTGAACCTGTCAAATATCTGTAGAACTTGTTAACTGAGTACATACCTTGTTAGATATTCCATGTTTCTTTTCATTTAAATGCCACATAAATACAGTGTTAATATTGTTATTGTGGAGATAAACTCAGGAAGGCCTTCCATTTGTCCTCGTATCTCAACCAATGTGGAGACAAGCGCGTGCTATTGTCATGGCCCGCTCATCATAGAAGTACATCGATCTATCCAGCGGTAATTGATGATATGAGCGGCTAAGATTATTACTATTTCACCGCTTTTCTGAACTGGATGGTGATAATCTCAACACATTTGTAGAGGGGGATTACCACTAACCGTTCATGCTTTGAGACTCTAAATGTACCAGCTAACGGACTTTATGCTTGACATGGTTCTGAATACCTACCTGTAAATTGAAATCCTCCTGTACGATGACCACGTCTGTTCGTTAGATTTTTCTCATTTTGGCAGGACATGCATTTCAAAAGAAGTCTTGGAGTGCCATTTAAAAAACAACACTTATCTGAACGAAGCTACAGGTTTGAGAGTTGATGCATAATATAAGACCGCGGGAATGAATTACTGGACACATTGGTGGTCAAATCGTAAAACTGAAATCACATTGACCTGCTTAGGTGGATTTTATTAAATGAAAACACACTAGGACTCTGTATGCGGATGTTGAAGTTATAGTTAGTAGAATAGGGGTGTGAAATAGGGACAACAAAACGTCGTATTCAAGAGACTGAATTTTCTGTCGCATGAACTACAGTCATTACCGTGATCAATGAAACAGAAAGTTGAAGATAGTGTTGGTTTGATGAGATGGAGAAAGAAAAGTGATGAAGAAGACTGATAATTCGATTTTTTTATTTAATTGATTTTTATTGTAGCTTGACTCCACACAGTATTTTTGATACAAGTATGGAATTTTCAGCATGTGATATCGGTAGCCTAAATTTAGCAGGCTAACCATTGGTATCAGGTGTGCGTCGGCCGGGGATCAAACCCCGTACCATGTGCATGGTCGGTCAGCGTCCTAAACCCTATGCCACCGACGATAGATAGGTCGAGAAAGAAGTGTGGGCAGTTGATACTTACATAATTTTAAAGTAAAAGTTAATACCTTATTGTACTTGAATCAGATAAAGAGGTGTTTAACTACTAATACTAGAGAATATCTGCAACAGAATGGCTGTTGATGAAAGTATTCTACGCTCTCCTTCAGCAAAGCAACTTTCCCCGTAGACCTTTACTATATTGAAGTGGCATACAGTATAAGAGATGATGCTACCACCGAAACTTGGCATTACAAGGAGATATTTAAATATGGTTGGGAATTGATTCCAGTGGTAAAAATACATTTGTATTCTATCTTTATATGCAGTGTTTACCTATTTCAATAAGTGACTACGTTATTGTTCTTTTTAACCAACTGTGATTTTCCAATTTTGTCTCTTTTTTTATTAACTATCAGATGAAAAAGATCTTCCAGATGACCTTCGAAAATTACTGGTTGAAAATATTGTAAGTGCTGCTTTCGATCCATCACTTGTAAGTTACATATTTTAATTGACTGTCCATTCCACCTGTTTTTTTTTAATCAGATAAGGCTGAAAGGTTTTGAGTTGTTATTTCCTGGTCTTTGGAATTTTGTGTTTCTAAGGTTAGTTACATTGTTGCTAACCCTTTGGTATTTTGATTTAGATCATCAGAGGTAAATTGGGCATCATCACAAGTGTTTCCTATATTGAATCAAATTGTACGGTTCAACTGTTTTGTCGACTTCGCTGACCAGCTTCCATCTGTCCTAGTTATTTCAGTTAAAAAAGCCTCTGAATTATATATGCGTAAGTATTTCTTTGAATTATCTTTTTAAAAATTATTTAGTCGACGCGGATTGTCTTTTGTTTTTAGATGCACTTTTGCAGTTTGGCATGAAACATAACATTGACTTGGATGACGCCCTTTTAAAAAGCGTCATCATTTGTGGTAATGAATTCGATTCGTCATGTAAAGTAAGTTGTTTCGGATAAATTTAAATTGTATTGTATATTTGTTCAGGTAACGGATTATAGGTTTACTTTTCATCTCACGTATGCAGGTTAAGGTAACCCAACTAGAGACTCTGCGCCTTGACTGACTGGGTTTTCAGCAGGGTGCAGCAGTTCAAGTTGCCACACTACACGGAAATGTATGGGAAAAGTAGTATGTATATAGAGAATAATGATAATTTAATGGATCTAGCAGTTCATAAAGAGTGAACGGATCTGCACCATTGCAAACGATTTTGAGCCATGTCACCAACAGTCTCAAGTCATTGGTTCTTAGCGTCTCCACGAACCCAACCCGGCAGTCTACACTTCTCTATGTGACTGGCTCAAACTGACAAACAAAGACTTCACAGATTGATACCGGGTTTCGGTTTGATTACCCCTAACTCCTTTTCAAACTAATTCTGTGTAATGTAACATTGCTCGACTCGGAAGGCAGTGGCTCGTCATGCGTGACACGTATCCTAGCCGCCTCACTCCATGTAGCTTCACAACCTCATCGGTCGACTTTCTCTCCTCACCTAGCACTGTATACCTGACTTCCGCTTTACTCACCACATTATACCACTTCGCACGGGAGATAGAACGCAACTATTTGAGGTCAAAGACAACTAGCCTTTACACATTTTCCACTTCGAATTGCCGTATCGCGTAGCCATAAAGCAGGACAGAAAGAACTGCTGCACAATACACAGGTCTTATGATCGACGACCAGATATTATACATTCACCGAAGATAACGTCATTTGGGAAATCCTACATGAGTCTTTCCTATCCGTGCTGAGATATCGTTAGACATCAGTCCATTAAAGCTAACGCAGCATCCTAAATAATTAAAAGCGGACAACACGGTCATTCATTTTACTTTTTGTCGTTAGACTTTGAGTGGATACATCAGCATCATCTCTCGTTAGATAGGGGCGAATCGTATGTCTATTATGGGAAGATGTTTACTCAGTATCTTGCACTATTTTGCGACATGTTGCTTAGTATGCAGTCATACTGGAGGATATAAGCTTTATTGTTTAATTTTGCGAAAATTTTTCTCCGATGTTCTACGGCATACTTTTTACCCACTCTTCGTCAAAAATTGCCTTTTCTGTGTTACGAAATAGTCGGTAATCTGGAATTACTGTTCTCTGTAGTTGTGTTAAGCCACGCTGCTAAACGGCGAAATTTTCCAAAAGTTTTTTGTGAAAGCACCTATCATGTGTGATTACTTAACATTAACTGTTTTCTAAGTTTGTCTCAAGGGACCCCCTCGTAAGGCATATTGAGGAACATATCAGGGCATATCATACCTTGATATTATTATGAGCAATAAATTGTACTCGGAACGTCATCAGTAAATATTGCTGTATAACACTGTGAGACTTTATCGAAATAAATTTTACCCATAATGTATGTCGTTTACACTGTTAGGGTTCTGTAAGAAAGGTCCTACTTTTGACGAACAGGAATGCAGCATCAGTAGGGTGTTTCCATCACATGATCAGCATGCCAGTTTTAATGCCTCTCCTCTGTAGACAGGAGGGTTATAAAACGTCGACTATCGTGTGAAGAGGAGCTGAAACAGTATGGACTAACATGGATGCAGGTGAAAGGTACAGCAGAAGACAGAAGCAAGTGGAGACGTGTAGTTGAAGCCCTGTGTTCCACTAGGAGCCCAAGGGAGCAATAATAATAATAATAATGACATACATTCTCATTCGTATACTTAGTACAATCTGCATTTCTGTGGAGTGATAATCATTATCCTTAGTGAACGTTAATGACACCGTATTCACTTTACATTTCTTTAGGATGACTCACTCTGGAATCGTTTGCTTTTAATAATAAAGTTGATAAACTCAATGACATCAGTCGACAATACTGACAATTTATTGGAATCACTCAAACAACCGATTTTATTTTGCTTAGACTGCTTGAAGACTAAAAGTAAGTCAGTGTTTTCATTTAAAGTTGTCAATGACTGGAAAATTCAGCTTTATCAACGTAATATATAACTTAGAAGACAACAAATTCACCGGGACGACATAAGCTTTAGATGTTCAAACCAAGTTCAGATTTAATGGTTTAAAATAATTTGTGTATTGGATATACGATGTTCATTATCATTTTGTAAAGGAAGATGGTCAGAATGTTGACATGCAGTGCCTATAACATATATGTGTGTGGTGGGATCTCCGCACATTTAGATGACACATCAAAAAAGATCATGAATTCAGTCAAAACGTTCTTGTTTTCTAACATTTCAGTAAATTGAAAAGTATCTTTCGAACTCTGGGTAAATACTTCTACACAGATTCGTTTTGGCTTCTTCGCTCACCACCAGATCAGTTTGTAGCGTACAAGTGTTGTTTGTAGCTTTCGTAGTATCAGTATTATCATGAAGGTGAAAGAGTAAAAACAAAAGACGAAAGCCTGACATTGGTTGGGTGAATATCTACAGTTAATTCAAAAAGTTTGAAAAGTTTAGTTGTAAACTATTTAGCAGCCAAATCGTTGAGAATGCAACTAATGCTTTTCTACTGACTTATACAACAGGGCACAAACTGAAAGTTAGTTTAGTGTAGTCCCCTCAGATAGCCGCATATTTTAACATAATATTTCGGCTGACATATTCTTTAGGGGCATAAAAGAAAGATTGGTTTCGTGAAAAAGTCATTTTGTAACCATACATTTTTTTGACACTTTTGTGTACAGTTGTAGTCATTTTATCTGTAATGTTTTTACTAGTATATTAAAGGTTGTTAGATTAATCTTTCTTTTGATTATATTGTACTGTGTAGGGTTTTTCAGCATCAGTAAACAGTTCTGTCTTGTCCTTCAATTTTTGTCTGGTTTGACAACTTTGTATCAGTCGTTTAAGTGGTTAGAAGATTTTTGCTATAAATCTAATAATGGTGAACCATTTACACTAATTGTTACAACTGTCACTATTGAACTGCGTCTTTATCTGTCTCAGCAAATGCCATCTAACAAAAATAAGAGCATTTGTAATCAACAGTCAATTGTGGAGTTGAATACTGGGAATAGTTCTATACAGCGCTTTCTTACAGATATCATGGTTGACTCGGTATGTTCCCTTTAACTTTATACATTTCCTCATTTTGATGGGTTTATTGTTAGTTATAGAGCATTATATTAAATGCTCAACGTTTGTTGACCTCAATAAATTTTGTGTCCAAGTTTCGCTCACTGACTGCGCTTCGTTCGTTCATTCATCAGAATTGGATTCTCTATATGGTTATTCAGTTGAATTGATAATTATTGGACCTTCTTTAAATGCTCTAAAATTTCGTCAGGGAATATGCATATTCATAGGTAAATTTGAAAGTGTCCGTTCCAAAGTCAGAAAATAATCTGTGTATATTTGAAAATCATCATTTCGGTTGCTATGGCAAAATATTCCCAGATATTTAAAAAGTTTTAAAATCCTTTAGGTAAAAGTAAAATGATTTTAAAGATTACAGCTAAAACCGTTTGATTGTAGATTTTTTCTGCATTACTTTCAGGCCGTAGTAGAAAATTGATCTTCAAACTTTGAAGTTTCATTAACTTTAATGTTGTTGTTTACTGGTTAGAGTTACTAACCTCACACACAACTTTCCCTCTTCCCAAGGCTTACCGCTGGCAGGTAAAGCAAAAGTGTGTCGGCCGGGAATTGAACGCCAGAGCCTTGATAATGGATGGTGAATCGTAATTGAAAATCTAATGCGATCTCTAATACACATCACTGTTTTGTATTAAACAAACGAAACATCGTAAAAGATGGAGTGTCTATTGGTATTAGCGTAGATAATAGTTTTTGTTTTTTGGTCTGTGTTTTGACTAATTATTGAAGGTTTATGAACAGGGTAGGAGGGTGGGTGGGTTGAAGAGACCAGAATCTAGAAGTGGACCTTCAGCTGATTTATAAAAGATTGGGAAGAATTGCAGCAAGGGTAATTTTCTAAAGTGTTGTTTGTTATGCTTATTATATTTTACAGTAAGTCTTTCATAGCTTTATTGCTTTCTGTAGTATTATGCATAACTTTCAATTTTGTTTTAAAAGGATCCTGTAATAATTAGCCGAAATATATCGGAAGCGTGTTTCGTCCTTTTTCGATACAGCTTAAAAGAAATAGAGAAAGGCAATAACACTGACGATGTAAGTGCTCTCATTTGTATGCAAGTATGGATTTTTTTCCCCACTTATTTGTGTTCTCTGAGCTGATTGATTTAATTGGGAAGCTTTCACTATCCTTCTAGACAACACCTTCAATGCAAGCTTTCATATGAAGTGAACTTGTTGAATTTTCCATAAATGATATAATTGTATCTAGTGATAACCATTGGTTGTTAATTTACATCTTTATTGGTTATATTTATTGACTTGGAATTTGAACTTTCTTGCCAAGTGATTTATTTTTCTTTTGGTGTGGTTGTGTTCTCTGAGCTGGATAGTTAATTTACTAGGTGACCTAGTTGGGTGATGAAAGCTTTGCAAATTAACTATCCAGCGCAGAGAACAGAACCATACCAAAATCATCCACCTGAGCTACAAATCAGCCAGCTCAAGGGGCACAGCCAAATTCGAGTCATCCACCTGAGCTGACTATCTTCTCTGGTAGGAGTTTGATTTATAGTGCTGCCTTACTTTTAATGATGATTTGTTTTTGAGTTGGGGTTAGGACCTGACACCTTATTCTAACGAGAAGTTTCGGCATTCTAAGTGGCAACTGATGAGCTGAAGTACCTTATAGAAACAGTGTATTAACGTTGCGCAATCGCAGGGCTAAGAGGACGACTACGTGAGTCCGGTTAAATGGACCGTTTGGAGTAGTTTCTAAGACTGTGTCAGTACGATAATGTTACCATTATCTGCTACTGTTGCACCCGTGTTCACTATCAGTAGGATTTCATCATTGGATTCCCAACACAGTCCAAATGACCTACATTGTGATGCAACTGTTTTTTGTCTGACCGCTGTCTAAGCGATCGTTGTGCGATGGTGGTGCCTGCAGAAGCATTTGTTACAGCTAGTATAGCTGGGTTGGTTTACGATAATATGCGGTGTTGACCACCATGTCAATCGCAACAGCTATCAGTCAGGTCTAAGCGATAAAGATATACGCAAGGAATTTCAGATTTGCAATGACTGCTTATCATAAAATCGTTTCAAAATTCAGCATAAACCTACATACTCTCAGTATAACTAATGCTGTTAGGGGCAATAATGACAATCTGTACAGCTGCGAGGTTCTTCACCTTTTTGTGCAGTTCCCCTGATGTTTAGCTTGATATTTCAGTATTCGCTTACTAAAACTGAACATGACGTAACTTTTTATTGTATCTGACCATGACTGGTTATATCTTACGATACATTATAATCAAAGCGAAACAGACCAAAATTAACTAAGGTCGTGTGAATTTTAAGAGCGTAGTATTCTTGTGTAAACTTCCTGTATACGATTTGTATATACAAATAATGCTCCAATTGATGTTTCTTGTACAATATTACTTGTAGTTGACATTAAACCATTAACACTACAATTCTTTTTGATCGCTTCAAATCTGTCGGAAAGCCATTGGTGTAGAGCTCCATTACAATTTTTCAGCTTACAACTTTACAACCTCAGTCAGTGATTGAAATAACATTTTCTCACAATAAATTGTAACCTGCTAGCATTCAGCAATGTGTATAAAGGAGGATTCAATGGAAATAAATTTCAATTTGAATTTGATACTGGTGTCTTAGACGAAGGTTTTATCAAGTAAAAGTCAAGCGTCGTGATGTATAGAAACAAGTGTTGTTGATTTTCAAGGTTTTTAGATCTTTCCTGTGCGTCGGTGGCACAGCGGTTAGGACGCTCGCCGACCATGCTCATGGTCCGGGGTTCGATCCCCGGCCGACGCACTCTACCTCGCTAAGCCAATAGTAAGACTGGTAAAGAGGAAAGGTCGGTCATGAGGTTAGCGACTCCATCCTGTGAAAAATAAACACTGCTACAGAAACTTCAAGCCTCTGGATTAAAGCCCTATGTTCCACTGGGAACGTGAAGGGATAAATAAAAAGATTTCTCCTATTGTTATTGTTTTGTTACGACTTTTTTCGATTTCGAGAGTTTACAAATACTGATCGGAGAAATTCAGTATAGGTGATGAGTCTGTTTTCTATTTTCAACAACTTTTTCTGTTTTCAAGACGGTAGATAATTGTGACAGTTCTTGTGACATCGCGTCTACTGGCTGCCTAATTTCCTATGCCTCAGATGAAACAGTGAAGAATATATGGTTACAGTGCGTAGATACTGGTGAAGATCTACTAGATTTCTTGTTAGCTTACAGTGCTATGGTGAAACAGGTAGGACTTATTTCTTTTATGGTAGTAATTTTATTCATAATCATCACAGTTGTTTTTGGTTAACGCATATTTCACATGTTTTCCGGTGTTCAACGCCTCTACAGTGTTATTGGATGCGATTTGGACTGTCAGTCCGAATTAGAGGGTTATGCAAAATATCATTCATGGTTATTTTATCTAGCCTTATAACTAGGGTAGTGAAGTGATAGACTACTTTCACTTGTACTAAGTTCTCTTCCCATTCAGTCCGTATGATCTTTTTTCCCACCTTTGTGTGTTGGTGCTTCTGTGAATTTTATTCATGAAATAAGTCAGCAACTGTAATTAATTATCTGACTTAAGTCACTAGCTGGGCACCAATATTATTTCAACCTGATCAGATTAGTTGTTTGTTTCAGTGCTGTCCTGTTAATTTTCAGCAGTCTGAGGTCTTCATTTTTTTTGTATAAATATAACTATTACATATATGTTAGTTAATTAGGCATTGCAGCTTTTCCTAACGTTCTATAACACGAGCCACACTAATCGGTTAGGTCTAACAAAGATGTTTAGTTATCAAATTTGAAGTACGTGGGGTTAAGCTTTGCAAAACTGTGAATTGTTTAGTCACAGGGTAACGCACATTTGAAGTTCACTGTCACGTCTCCACTTGTATGCTCCATGTGAATTAGCGTGTTAACCTGCTATCTTTTATGGTGACATTAGTTGGTCAGTTGATTAAAATAACAAACCCTGTGTTATTCAACATTCTACTGTGCTATATTTAATATTACTTCTAGCTGTCTTCTTTATCTGCCCATGTAGTTTTTGTGTATGACTGATTTTTGTGAAAGCTAAAGACTGCAACAACCAGATTGACAAACATGCCTTGCTATTAGTAAAACAGGATTATCAAGGGATTATCCACGCTGTGCATATCCCTATATGTTATTTGTGTCAGTGTAATTGTATGCTTTTTGACTTTCGATAATAGGAAGTTTTATGTCGTATTATTTTATTTCTAATATTTAGGAGTGCGATTACGACTCACATTTCTTATGGGATAATTCTACCAAACAAATCAAATCACTTGGTGCACTTCTGATAGAAGTATACTTCAGTTGGTTGGCAGTTTACTTCACCACACATTGTATGCAGTGTGAAAATGCTAGTGAGACTACGTCTGCTTTTGAAAGACTATTCGATAAGTATTTGGCTCCGATTTCACCAATTTTGAGTTCACTCATGTAGGTTATAAATTGTTTATGTGTGTCATTACAATTTATCTAACCTGTATTTTGAAATCTATGGAAAAGTTATGAAAAACATATATATATATAATATATATATGCGAAATGCTGCTCAATAGATCTATATAAACTGCTGCGGAGACTTAGGGATTTAGCGTCAGTATCCTTTAGTTAGCTATTTCCTTTCAAATTGAGATAATTTATTGTTCCATACAGGTGTATACTCTGTGTTAAAACTTGAATAAGACGGGAATGACATTGCGTGATAAACAAACACAACTTCCCCTCCACTCTACACAAATGGATAAGACTTAATTGTCGGTATGGTTTTAAAATAAAGATGGTTTGAAAACTATTAAATCTTCTAGTCAGTAGGTGAGTTAGTTTGGAGCATGAAATTGACATATCACACTGTAAAAATTGAAGTGGTGATATAAACATAAAGTTAGAGAGGTATTTCTGAAATACTATTAAAAAAGTGATGTATAAGAATGAATGCAGTGAATCGGAAAAGATTCACTTCAGGTAAAATCAACAGTTCTGAATTACAGTTCAGACGAATAATGCATATATTGGTAGTTGACAACTGCAACCCTCGTTACCATGGTAAGCGTAGGTGTAAAATGCTTGTAGTCATTATTTAATTTACTCAAGTTATTATGGTAAGAACAATCATTGGTGCAAAATAACATGGATCCATTTTATTCTGCCTGTTCTCATCAGCTGCGTACAACCTGTAACACTTGACAGAACAGTTATAATAAAGTTTTAATATACTTTTGTTCATCTATAGGAATGAGTCCTTCAGTTAGGGCTGTTGTACGAACGTCATAGTAAAACAGAACCTAAGAATGATAAGATGTCTTAAAGTATTACAATATATATATATAATTATATTAAGGGAGCGAAGTGTCTTGTAAAAGAAATTGAATAAATCAGTTTGCTGTTAGAGTGGCGATAAGTCAGGGATATAACTGCGTAACCAGAGATAATAAAATATAGTGAATAGAACTGTCATAAAACTAAAGAATCTGAATTTAGTCTGTAGGAAATGGAATACAAAAATGATAATGTATTACAATGAGTAGAATTCAAAGGACCAAAAATTAAGTCTGAAATAAAATGTGATGGGGGGGGGGGGGAACAAATTCTCACAACAATCCTTACTGAAGGACCGATTTCTGACGAGAAATTTTATTTTAAGTGATTTTATTAAATGTTACAAGTTGTACCCAGCTGAAAAGAACCGATAAAATAAAATGGATCCGTGTTATTCTGCATGAATGTTTGGTCTTTCGCTGTTCATATTTATACGGCGGAATTCGTGTATAGAATTACTATGGAAAGTTGGGAAGTACTCTACCGATAGTGGTTCGTCAGCTCATGTAAAACAGTGGTTTTAGTGGTTTTATAACTTCATTAGCTCTCATACACTCAGCAATTGTGGTCTAAAATCCAGTAAGTAGATAAAAACTGTTTTCTTGTTTAAGCTGTACATATTATGAACTTGACAGCCGTTTAATCCAGGACTATCTACGGGTTGTACTGCTGATTCAGCTAACTGACATTTTTGTTTATCGAATAATTCAATAATTCCTATTGTAACATTAAGAACAGAATATTCAGCGAACTTATGTATATATATATATATATATATATAGTTTTTAAGAAATTATATTGAACGAGTAAATTGAAACAAATGAGTGAATACGTAAAATAATAATAGTATGAAATTCAATTAAAACGTTTGAGATTATAATTATAGGTAAATATCAACTGTCAAGTAGCAAAACAGGCGATGTCTTACATAGAGTAGTCCATAGGATGTATAGATGTCGGAAAGGGGGGTATACAATTATAAGATTAGTAGTCAAATATAAAACGTTACATAACATGGTGTGAAATTCAATAAAATATAATTCAACATTGCAAAAAATATTTTGGATTTAGAGTGGAAAGTAGGAAAAGTGAAATAATACTGGAAACAGTTCAAAATGAGGATGGTAATAGTAACAATAATAATGGTTATCGTATTAATAAATGTTATTCCTTCTACGGCCAAGGCAGAAATAGGGATTGAACACACTTGTTTTGTACATAAGTGTGTCTGATTTAAATTCATGAACGACGAAGGCCTGTTCTGTCTTTAGAAGTTCAGAAAAAAGCAAACGTGACAAGTTAGCACGAATTTGACAGATGACCTTAAAATCATGGTCAGGGTTGGCAGAGTGACGGAAGTCGACCAAGAGCTTTAGAACAGAGCTTCGTACACAATTTCTAGTATACGTGTGGAAAGCGTTTTCTGCCCACGGCAAATGTACTTTGCTCCACAAGAGCAGGTGGACTGATGGATACACATGGAGGCGACCAGATGAGGGGGCTTATCGTTTTCAGAGACGGAGAACAACTTACACCTGGTGAAGGTCATTTGTAGTTTTGCAGCAAACAACGTCTTACTGACTGATTTAGGTAGACGAATTTTGAGGATATCTGAAGCCTGATCACCTTTGAATTCAGAATTCATGAATATGTTTTTTTTAGAAGTGAATCAGTGATCAGTTTGGATTGCTTATTTTTTCGTGTTTTTGCCAATAAATCGGTTCGAGTAACTTTTCTGCGAGTGTGGCCTTTAGGGAGGGGAGTTCTGAGTCAACGCAATCAGAGCTACAAATGTTTCTTATCCTTGCTTATTTATTCACGTTTTGCTTGAGTGAGTTGTCTTCAAATATTGTTTATCACCATTATCATGTATACTATTAAATCTGTATGGAAACTAGATTGCATTATTAGAAATTGATTTCACTGAGTGACATGCACGCACACCTACATTAAAGGTTTGTTCATCTGTTTCTTTGGTATTTTGCAGTGTGTCTATTTACTTTAGTGAATTTTATTTGAGGTTATTTCTTAGCTACCACTGTTCATGAGGAGGAACAGTATCCCATCACTGTTTGAAGTATTTGCCTAGTGAATACTGACTTTGTATTCTGGTTCATCTTATTTTGTTCTGTTCTGCACACTTTATTTTCGCTTTGGTTTTTTCAACGCATCATCTATGCGTACTCTTGTTTTGGTATTTTTCTTAGGACATATTATTTTGAGAAACATTCCATGTTATCTGATCCTGAAAATCATTCTACTGACGATCTTAAGTGGATTCAATCAGTGGCAAACATTTGTAGTGTAATAATTCAATTATCTACAATAACTTCAAATCCGAAGTTTTCCACTGATTGGTTTCCATGGGATTCTGTTGACAAGCCATTTTGTGGTGAAATTGTTTGTAATTGGTTGAAGAAAATGTGGAATTTTGATTTTCTAAGTGTGCAAACATGCTTATCAAGTCCAGTTATAGAAATGCTTACTAACATTCTGGAACTGATTGATACTTGCGTATTGGATTCACAGATAGTCAAGTCGACGGAAAATATTAAAGAGAGTAATTTATACAAGTGGTTGGCAGAACCCGGCGAATTATTTCACTTATTCATTGGTAGTTGGATATCTTTCTACGGTGCTGTTGGTAAGTCGCACTTTTTTGTTTGCTTTTTAATTCTGTCTGAATATTTAATCGTTTTTGTCTTTTATAAAAGTAATGTATCTTGAAGGCAGCCATATACTATTAGGTGCATTCCTCAGATCAAAACGCTATTATCAGGATAGGAGATTATACTATTCCAGAGAATGCGGGACTGTAGCTCATTGTTTTCGGCTCTTGACTTCCAAACAAAGTGTTACAGTCTCGAGCGCCACTCCGCCTACCGAGGTTTGAACAGCCGGATAGTATTATTAGTACTCATCACCAACTCCATAAAAATATGCAAATATTTGTTGAGTAACATTGACATTCCATGTCAATACTTTTAGATCACGATCAGCAATACTTCCATCGACTTTTGTGAGGATTTTGAAAAGTATTTCGGGAGTAACTCCGTTTTTTATTTATTTCGTAAGATAGTGAATGTTGTATGAGTTGGTCGAATTAAAGCAAGTAATATTTTCAAATAATTGAAGATAATAACTTTTCGAATTTCCTTCACTTACAATTCAGTTACATACTATTTTGAAGGCTTTGCTTAATAAAATACATGTCATGAAATGTTGTTAAGAAAAAGTTAGGAAAGAAGTCTTAGTAATGAGTTTTATAGTAGTGTGGATTGTTTTATTCGAGCTTTAGGTAAGATATTTCTTCTTTATTCTTCTATCGTAAGTTGTAAGGATATTTTCTCTTTTGATTTCAGTAAATCAACCAAGCTTATGCATAGAATATATTTGTACAGTTGTCAAACTGTGGATAATTTATCAGAAGTGGTCCAAAGAATTTAATCTAGTTCTAAATGACACAATTAAGAAGTCATTATTCAATATTCCAGGTGGGTTTTTTGATATTGTTTTTTATCTAGTCATTGTAACTTAATCCATTTACTAAAGAATGTGTAGAGTTTCAACGATTTTCATCACTTACAGACATAGTATAGGGGTATTTTCGCGTAGTTTCAAAGTTACTGACCTTATAGTCGCATTTCAGGCAAAGTGGGGGGGGGGGGTAAGAAAGAAAAAAGGAATAAGAATGATGTAACCTATAGTCGTAGGAAGCATGAAAATGAAGTATACAAGAAGTGCAAAAGGCGCACGAGACGTAATATTACAATTAAGATGATAAGTGAAGTACCAAAGGATATAAGCTATAGGGGCAATTCTAAGCTCTCTCACCTAAGGTGACAGGCTAATCTTTTAAATTTAACAAGGTTCTAGCTTTAACAGTAAGTCCTGAGTGAAGCTGTCACTCATATTTTGAACATACCCTGCAAAATAATCTTTCAACCATAGGAAAGGTTAATAGACGGTTTTAGAAAAGAAAAACTTTCCCTTTCGACTAACTGATTTACATTCGTCAACATCTAAAAGGAGAGTAAAGCGTTCTAGAATTAATATCTGTTAGGAATCAAGTTACGTTAAGTGACTGAATGGTGCCACATCATGCAAGAAATGAAAGTAGATATCACTAATCAGTAGTGGCTTTATCCGTAGAGACGATTGAAAACTTTTAGAAGGTGTCATTTTTAATTTCCGACCGGTAATCTTTCGGTTATGCATCTTGGTTTCACTTCTATTGAGTGGGTTCGAAAATTATGAATGAGGTTTCTCAGGAGATCTTCAAGGGAGCTGCTTGCTGTAAGTTTACCTAGTCATACGTTACTGAGCTGGAAATAGATGAGCAGACGTTATAGTACAGGGATTGTTGTGTGTGTGGCTGTATATGAGCAAGTAATTCTTAAAACGTTATATTCTTCTATTTACAACACTAATGATAGTTATCAGCATTCAAGTTTATACATATTGTTGTTGTAGGTTTTAGTTTTTTTAGACACACTGGTCGTCTGTTTGCCGTATGTTTCTTTACTCATCTTGAGCGTTCACCGATCCATTTCAATCAGCTCTATTTTAATGATTGTTTGCGACTAACTGAAGTAACCTTCGTCTAAATTTAAAAATGATCAGCGTCGATTTGTAATTCATACTAATTCATGGTAATGGCAAGCAATTTATTGGAATGAGTGTGAATCTGATTGAATATATATACAAAATTGTGCATACCTTGATTAAGTTACCAGAAAAATCTGTTGATTACCTTGATATGATTATGAGCAATAAATTGTGCTCGAAACGTCATCAGTAAATATTACTGTATAACACTGTGAGACTCTATCAAAATAAAATTTACCCATAATGGAAGAAAAATCTGTTGCGTGATAAGTTCGAGCCTCAGTTCATATATCTGTGTTCAGTATGTTAGTTTACTTATTGTGTTTCGCTTTTTGCACTTCTAGACAATATTTGTCCTTATCTTCAAGTAAATTTACTATTAACTGCCATTTTGTCTGATGACAGTGATAAATAAAAAAACTCTCAGTAGATCTATAGATGTCTAGTCATACCTTTTTTCGTAGAACAGGGTCATTTTCCGTTGACAAAGTTGGGGAATATAATTTGGTGCTTTGGTTTTCTGGTGATGTTTCAAAATTGTTTAATTGCCTTTCAGATGATCTACTCAACGGCGTTGATAGAATTCTATCTCTGTCGAATTCTGCTTCGTCAAACTCTTCAGTTCTGTATCACCTTCGTCATCTTTCACAAGGTAATTTATGAAAAAAAACTCTTAAACCTCTCACTGGGTGTTTTCACTGATTTATGTTTGTTAACATGTTGATTATATGAACTGGTACGCTTTTCCCAGTCGAACAACACCAGTTCTGTAATGCTGTGTTAGAAATTAGGTTAAAAAAATGAAAATGAGGTAAACCATTGTTTTATATGTTCAAACAGTGTGCTTACTCGGAATAAGATGGACAAGTGAGTTTTCTGAATTATGGAAAATTTCAATGAGATGGATAGTATGGTAGTATGTACCCCCATATTATTTGGTTTATTAGATATGTCACCACAGTGAAACAGTTTTATTTATTAGATGACGTTCCGAACACAATCCATCGTTCACAGTCATATTAGTTATAACTAAACAACTTAGAAATTTGAGTTTTATAGTTTTCTCTATTCCTTCCCATTCGTCGTAGGGATAGTGAGATTTTGCGTATGTCTGGGACAGGTGTTGAATCATCCATTCCCTATCACAGCTGATTCGATTTATTAATTTTTCACTATAAATCTTTTTCCACCCCGTTATAGTTCATTTTAAGACTGTCATCCTATCCCATCATATTTTATAGTTGTGTGTAAATGCATGTAGTAGTATAGCTGAGCTATTTTCTAGATTGTTTATCTTATTAGTTGACTCTAATAAGATAAGAAAACATGTGCGATAGGAATGATTCAACACCTGTCCTGGACATACAGGAAATTTTACCACCTTTTCGACGAATGGGAAGAAATAAAGAAAACTGTGAAACTCAAATTTCTATTTTGTGTAGTTATAACTAATATGAATGTGTTCGAAACGTCATCCAGTAAATAAAACGATTTCACTGTGTGATATATGCAATAAACAAATTAATACGAAAATGAATTATTTCACTGGATGGGAGTTTTCTTTGTTGCATGCATTAACATATGAGTAGATAAATAAGCAATATCTCTACTTTCTTTATTTTTTAGTCAACTCTTTGTAACAATTTTCATTAAAAATAAGTAAAGAACAACGGTACAGCCATTGTTTAGCATCAGTTAACTCTGTTGACATATTTTTAGAATTGTTAGGGTGTGCAATTTCTCTTTGACGTTCAGTGGTTTTGCTCAAACACCATTTGAGTGAATTCTTGAAAAAAGCGGTAGATAACCGTCGATGCACATGTATCTCCAACTGAACAGTGTTCACCGTCTTGCATATGTACACTGAAAAGTCTGAGAGTGAGGGGTCTCAGTTCAATGGGAGTTTCCATAGGGAAACCAACAAGTAATCTGGGATATTGAACCTTCTCATTATAACGCGCTGAATGTAAAGGATGCTGTAGGTTTAAGATCAAACTCTTTTTTGACGACTGCCTCACCACGATACGATTTTTTATGATACTCTTAACATGTTCTCTAGTACAGGGATATTGTTTAGCAGGAGACATATATCTTGTCTTATTCCACTCCATGATGTCCGATAAGCAAATATACTCAGGATTTACTGTGACATCAACAATGCTGACACACCCTTAAGCTCGGTGCTTTTTATTACCAACACTGATCATCTCACAGTCCAAAAGAACGGAATCTAAGTAGTTTAAACTGCCTGTTTCAGATTGATTGTTCAAAAATTTAATGATATTTTCGAAATGAATACATGGGATATTTCTTAATCATAAGTTCCGAGGTTGGAATTTAAATGTTCACTGTCAAATAAAGTGTCACTGTTGTGTTCATCCTGAAAATATCACTACACTTTTGAATAATTCTAATTATTCTATTTCTCTTAGCTATTTCATTCAGTCTCAATTGACATTTCCCCATTTAAAAAAATTACTTTGAATGTTCATACATATATTCCCCTTTATGAATTTGAATAAAGCAAGAACAACAGTTTTTGCAGAATAATATGGTACCATCATTTATTTCAATGGCTTCTCACCAGCTGCTTACAGGCCAGTCATTATTAAGTATATCTACAGAAACAATTATAACATACCAATTTTACATGATGTCAGTTGACAGGAATTTCTGGACTCAGTGAACAGTACTCAGAAAATTACGCTTTAAAGAAAGTAAATGTATGCATACAATGGTAAAAGAGTTACGTAGTAAAGACGAGATGTGCGTTAGATGCAGAATGACTAATAAACTAGGTAACAATGTACTGAGTTCAACTCAAATCAAAGAAACAAGCTACAAACAAACTTAATCTTTATCAAAGTGTGGGGGTGATGTTAAAGCCAGAGATTACGTAATTAAGTGAAGGAGAGAATAAAGGCTTCCAGTTACCAGGGCAAGCAGAGACTGATAACTGCTTCTTTCTGAACACAAAAGTTGGGTTTCAGGCGTTTGATAGAGATCGCTTAGACAAGCTTTAGAATTATGCTTCTTTGTCTATTGATAATTTTAGAGAAATTTGCGATTTCCACCTGATGACCCATGTCAAGGTGATGCCTGGTAATAGCACTATTGTAAGCGTCTGCTCCCTTGAGGCGTAGGCTTTTCGGTGTGTGTACCCTTCTTCCTCTTCTCCCAGTTTAACTGCTACCGCAGATACACTTAAATTTGTACATGCAGTTGGGGTTAACATAAGAAGGGTATCTGTGGACTTTTGATTGCACCAAAGAGTATGTTGTTCAATAGACGGGAACCAACTTAGCTACAGCATAGGCTCTACCTAGTGACGTACTCAGTCTTCTATCGACTATTGCTGCAATATTTTCACCCTTAAAATTCATTTGTTTTTGGTGCGGTTAAATTAGTGATTTAATTTATTTTCTCATTTCAGTTTTCAAAGAAGCTACAGAATACGATGATCGATTTGTAAATGTCGCCTCTCTCATTGAAGACTTTTAGCATGTTTCTATAATTTCTAATACTGAGTACATATTTTCGTGACAGATGATTGTTAATTTGATGAGGAATAATTATTTTAATAAAAAATTCTTGGAAAATGTTGTGTGATTATTGTTGCCTTGCACTTGTCAAATGGAGTGATCGGGAATTGTTTTTAAAAGATAAGAACTGTTTGCCATGCAGAAGATCAAGAGTTATTCGGTAATTAGGTGTGATTTAATAGAATTTTAGGTTTTCCCGTCGATTGATTGGACCGAAGTGCTTGGTCTCAGCTTGACATGTCGGCTTCTTGTGAAGATGCTTCAACGATGTCTAGGCATGTAATTAGAATTTAATTGGTGTATGGTAACTAGCAATGGAATTCAGGATGCGCATTTCGTCCTATATGGGGAATGTAGGTACATCCATTTGGGGAGTCCTAAATAGGACAAAACGCACATCCCGGATTCCACCGTTAGTCACCATCCACCAATTAAATTAGCTATGTGATATTCAAAAATTCTGTTCACTGTTGAAAAGATGCGAAAGTTCGAATTTTGTCAACTAGTTGCATTTACTTGAAATTATTAACACTTGAATGTGTAACTGATAGTTTTAATGATTAGTGTGAGACGATATTATTTGGTAACCAACAGTTAGTAGGAATTTGAAGAAATGGTGCAGCTTACAGTTTGACCATGTAAACACTTACCATCTCGTTCGTCGTTTTAGTAATTCGAATAAACTGTCTGGTCGTTCTCTGCTAGCCCTAAACTCTTTTGAAGTACAAAAATAAGTGTCAGTTGTATATCTTAAGAGATAATTCATTCATCTTTATCACCCAGCTATACATCGTACAAATTAAGGGAAGCATATTTCTGTTATTTAGGCCTATTTGTAACACGCTTCCCAATTAGTGAAAAGTCAGTCATTCCTTACATCTTTGACTGAACTGACCACCGTCGTTTCAAATACAGGCGGAGCGGCTGAAGATCTCTAAACCAGACTATGAAAGGCATGACAGAAATCCATTAATCTGGAATCTATGTGGAAATTTGCTGCAATCAGCATATAGAACAATATTGGAATTTTCAACACTAATGTCAAGTCACTGAGTGCTTCTGTATGGTTCAGAGATATGGTGCATCACGAAAAGCATTTCCAACAGGCATTTGTAAAAAATTATATTTGTAATATCTCAGCGATATTGAAATGAGTAATTCCAACGTTTCGTTCGGCAATCTGGTCCGAACTTCTTCAGGGAAATTAATCGAAATTAACATAACAAAGGTTTATATATAAAAGGAACATCACTTGTTTTTAAAAACTTTGTCCAATCATGATTCATAAACACAAGTATTAACAAGTATAATAAACAAAATTGTATGAGCTGTGATCAAAATTTGACCTCGGACTTACAAATATTGGTCTACCTTTGTTAAACACTTTAAACAGAGTGTGCATGTGTGTGTGTGTAAACAGTTGTAAAACATTTCTTAACGTCTCCATAGGAAGATATAGACAGTCAGGAATTTGACCAAGTATTATTAATTAGTGATACATACCCATCTTTATTTATTAATCAGGATTTCCTATGCATCAGCTAACATCAAACCTTCATGTCTGTTCAAACTGCTAGTATCTAGAATTTTATGATCAGACGTATTTTCAAAATTATGATGTTTAGGATTGGAGTTTAGTAGAAGCACCCTGTCGAACTTATTGCATTGTCTTCTTTCTGAATATTGAGCTGCTTTGTTCGACCTATTGGAGTTGTCAGGAGACTCGACAGCTACGGATTTAGGATATGCATTCTGTTGCAGACAACGGAGATTGAAAACACGATGATTGTACCAATTACATAGTTTCTTTGTTAATTTAATTCGATAGCAAAATAATTCAAATGAACTGTCGTCAAGATTTGACCGAATAGTTCTAAAATATTTGGGCGCCGAGTGAGATTATTTATTTATTTATTTTATTTAAACGCATTAAAACTTGGTACAATATGGCACCAAGAAGGATGCGCCACACAATAATAATAAAACAACATAGATGAAGAAAAAAGGAAGGCAGGAAAGGAAAAAATATATATAAGTAGAGAACGAATAATGAACTTCATCTGGAAGGAAAACACTCATTCTTAACAGGTTCAAACAGTGTTCGTTAACTATCATCGGGAATGGAAGAAAGAAGGAAATCGCAACACATTCGCCATTGATTACGATTCTTGGCCATATCCGATAACGTTTCGAGCCATCGATTTGAGCTATCTCTCAGACCCCAACCAGGGAGTCGTGACACACCAACCGATGCTAATCTAACACAAATATCCTTCATCCCACGACGCCACGTCATGGGCTGACCACCCCTCCGCCTTTTCCAACCCGTCCCAGGGCTAGCGAACAGAGACCTGTACGGAAGCCTCTGGGGTGACATTCGCAGCACATGTCCAAGCCACCGGAGCCGGTGTTTCCAGATGACGACATTCAATGAATGGTGATCTCCACTGTGTTCAAACACACGCCGCCGAACCTCAGAATTACTCACGCGATGATGCCATCGAACGCAAGCAATCCTGCGGAGACAGCGGTGATCGAACACGCAGAGTCGCCTCACATCCTCAGCTCGGAGAGGCCAGGTTTCACAGGCGTAGAGCAGCGCAGCCCGCACCGAAGCATTGTATACCCGACCTTTGACAGCCAGGCTAACGTCGCGACGGCGCCAGAGGTGGCTCAAGTTGATGTATGCCACCCTAGCTTTCATTATACGGTTGGAAATCTCATCCGTCACCCCTCCGCCAGCACTCACACAACTACCTAGGTACACAAACTTATCGACAACTTCAAGCGGTTCACCCGCAAGAGTGAGTGCAGGTACAGGCTCCTGCCAATCTTGTAACAGTACTTTGCACTTAGACGGCGCAAAGCACATACCATACTTACAGACACTGATCGCCAACTGATTGAGTGCGATTTGGGCAGCCTGCATGCTATCGCACAGTAAGACGATATCGTCTGCATACTCGAGGTCGAAAAGTCTATCTCCAGGTAGCATATCTACACCACCTTCACGCACATCCTTCAGAGCTGACTCCAGAATGTCGTCGATGGCAAAGTTAAAGAGAAATGGCGAGATTGGGCAACCCTGTCTAACCCCACTGTTGGTTGGGAACAGTGGTGATAGTTGGTTGTATGCCCTCACTCTACCTGAGGTGTTTCTGTATAGGGCTTTCAAGATGTTAACAAATTTCTCAGGTACACCTCTCTCTAACAGACAGTTCCAGAGCACAGTTCTGTCCAACGAATCGAAGGCAGCCCTAATATCAAGAAACACAACGATCGTTGACCTGCAATACGTGTGGCGGTGTTCCAACAACTGACGAAGGGTGAACACATGATCAATGCATCCACGACCTGAACGAAACCCAGCCTGCTCTTCGCGAATCAATCCTTCGCGTATTTTGCACAGTCTGCGAAGCATGACAGCAGCCAATATTTTAGACGCAACTGGTAACAGACTGATACCCCTATGGTTGTCACAGGAATTACGTCGACCCTTTTTAAAGATGGGGACGATAATGGCTTCGTTCCACATTGATGGTACGCTCTCTGTCTCCCACACCCTCCTGAACAACCCAGTTAGAGCCATTATGAGAGTCTCGCCACCATCTTTAAAAAGAGCCGGGGGTAATTTGTCTGGGCCGGGCGCCTTATTGCGTTTCAGAACTTGGAGTTCCTTACGGATCTCCGCTTCGGTGGGTGGGTCGGTACTAACCGACCAAGGAGCACTCGGGCTAATGATAGTAGACAATGAAGCTGGTGGCCAGCTGAACTGCTTCCCGAAGTGCTCTGCCCAGCGTTCCAGGCGTCTCTTCAGGCTGGTAATTGGAGTGCCATCTGCCTCACAGACCGTCTCGCTGACACCTTGTTTCTTGCTGCCGGTGGCTCGTATGAGTTGGAACAGCTTCCGACTGTTGCCAGATGCAGCAGCTGACTCCATCTCATACGCACGTTCTGACCACCAGGCTTCGCGGTCCTTACGTAAACACTGTCTAATCTTGCGCGTGAGCGCCTTTCGCTGATTGTTGTATTCACTGCCAGCCGGAATGGACCGGCGTTCATCCATGAGTTGCAAGGAACTCGCAGAAACCCAGTGGTTGTTAGCGGAGCATTCTTTCAAGCCGCAAGCGGCTACACTCGCCTTTTGCATGGCACCTTGCACATGAAGCCAGTGTTCATCTATACTACTTGGGGGGTTGCTGGCAAGCATTGTTTTCAACTCATTCTGATATTTCAAAGAAGTAGCAGGTGCTACTAGTTTGCTCACATCAACGCTTAGACGACGGTTTTTACGAACCCCACCAAATCGCGAGACGAACTTGGCACACACTAACGCATGATCGGAGTCCAGGCATGTGCTCCAGAAGGAGCGACAGTCTTGTATGCATCCTCGCCACCGGAAACTGACCGCAATATGATCAATCTGAGTCCAAGCTTGGTTCGCAGAGGGAGGACGCCAGGTAGCGCTACGGCGATGGCTGTGCCGGAAGTTGGTGCTGGCTAGAAATAGGTTGTGATCCGCGCAAAGCTGCAGAAGACGGTCTCCATTATCTGACCTGCGACCATGTAGTCCCCACTGACCACCTAGACGACTCTCCTCTGAGCTTAGACGCCCGACCTGTGCATTCAAGTCCCCAGCTAGCACTACGATATCCCTCCGACCCGCCTGTTTCAACAGATCGCTCAGTTGGTAGTAAAACTCATCCTTCATTGCATCCGGGCTGCAATCCGTCGGTGCATAAGCAGAGACAACAAATAGACACCGCCTATCTGGCCTACTACTCCTTACTTTCGTATATCCTCCCAGCCTCACAGCACATAAACGACTGTTAATGGGAATCCAGTCGAGCAGTGCAGCTTCGGCTCTAGCGCTCAGTGCGACACCGACACCAGCAACGCCAGATGCCGATGCCACAGGGTCCCCGGACAAGCGCAGGTGGTACATACTACTAGAACTTCCAGATGGAGAGGATAGTCGAAGCACTTCACTGGGATCTTGAATGCGGGTCTCCGAAATGCAGCAGACATAGATAGCGAGGCTTTCCAAAGTTCTTGCCAACCCTGCCTGTTGTCCGATTTGCATCAGCGTCCGAACATTGTAGGTAGCCAACTTGAACGCAGCACGCGGTTTCAGGATATCTGTGTTAGAAGTCGCATTGGGAACAACCATTTTGAGGACTACTCACTAACATCTCGAAACGACACGGATAGGCTGGGAATCTCGACAAAGGCGAAAGGTTGTCGAAGGTTAAGAAGTCAAGGTTAGGAAAGGTAAAATACAGGAAACTAAGTATAAAAATAAAAGTAAGGTTGGAAAGAGATATATCAACTGGGACATCATTACTGCTTGAGAGCATTGTTAAGAGCGCGCGATGAGTTTCACTGATAGTTCGTTGCTTCATTTAATTAATTGTGTGAGGGCTGAGATACTGCCCGGGCGCCCAAACCGAAGCAGGTGGTTTTCTTAAGGGACCACCCCCCCGAGCCTTTGACTTGGAGTCTAATCCGCAAGGCAGCGGAGCAGCGTCAGGTGCTGCGTTCCCATGGTTGCCGGTGACCCATATGGGTTCGTACGCCATTTGATCCTATTGGATTCTGGAGCCCATGTACCCCATGGTAACTGCTTTTAGTCTAACCGCTATCCAAACAACCTTCCTGGCATGGTAGGACCTGCAGGGACATGAGTCCCAGCCAGTTTAGCTTGTTGGGTCACTGCGGCATTCAAGCCCGACCACCACGGCAAGGTAGCAGTTATCGGCCGGGCGAGTGAGAATTATTATATTTGTAAAATCTCAGCGAGATTGAAATGAGTAATTCCAACGTTTCGTTTGGCCTTTTATATATAAACCTCTGTTATGTTAATTTTGATTAATTTCCCTGAAGAAGTTCGGACCAGATTGCCGAACGAAACGTTGGAATTACTCATTTCAATATCGCTGAGATTCTACAAATATAATTTTTTACAAATGTCTACTTCTCACTCGGCGCCCAAATATTTTAGAACTATTCTGTCAAATCTTGACGACAGTTCATTTGAATCATTTCCAACAGGCTTCAGACTTTTATCAGCAGCTGTCTCTGCTCCACATTTAAGATCAAATAGTCAGAAACGAATAACAACAAGGAACTGTGGCGATGAATCAGTTAAGGACATGTTATCCGTTAGATACACCAAAGAAAATAGAGATGGATCGGACATGCTCTGAGGAGATGTTCAGTGACATCATGCTCCACGCCCGCCAGTGGAACACGAATGGGAAACGATGAGTGGGTCGTCCGAGGGTGACATGGAGGAGATCGTGTGGGGAGGTGATGAGGACTTATGGACAATCGTGGAGCCAGAATGAAATGTGGATGTACTGTTGAATCCCTTTGTTCCACTCGGAACCCATGGGAATAATAATGATAAATAAACATATTTCGCAATACATTTAACGTAAATGTTAAATGGTTTAGTTGAACCAAATTGAAAAATAGTTGGATAAAACCTTTAGGTGAAAAAACAAGATTGGGTGTATGAAATCACATTGTCAAATTAATGCATAATAAAAGCAGCAGTTTGTTTCTGGATATAAAAATTCCGTTTGAACCGTTTAATGGGTACTACTTCAGTGATACATAGTAAGCTAAAGCTAACCTGAGCGTCAGTTATCTTAAATGATTTTAATAGATTAATTTTACAGTCAAGTAACTAGCGATCTTAATGCCGAAAAATTTCGTAAGTTTTTTGGAATATGCAGTCACAGATCCTTCTTTCTGTTCAATTAATGTGTGTGCTTCGGTACTTACATATGAATTGGTAGATAAAGTTGCAGGTAATAAAACAGCATTAAACATATAATGACTTATGAAGCAATCACGATACTGCAACCTGACAAAGGTCCTAGTGTACTTTCAGTGAATAAGGATGAATATACGGATTTAGGTGATTCACAGCGATTTGTAGTGGACAGTAAGAAGAATGACTTGGTAGAGTCCACGGAGAAATAGGTCACAAAGAAATCAAATTACAATTAATTTTATTTTCCCTTCAAGAAATCTCGTGAAAAGTGATTTTCCCTTTTATATCTCTTTTATAATATAATGACAATCAAGTCACCAAGGGTTTGTAGACTGTTATGCGTCTAATCAGTATGATACGACCAGGCAGTCATCATTCTTATTTTGATACGAAATTAGCTTAAGTTATCACTCTATCATAGTCCTTAGGAGATGAGGGAGTGTTGACGTTCGCGTGAAGTTCTTATACCCACAACTCATACAGTATTCGTTCTGTGTAAACCAAAGGCAAATCAAAACACTAAGTCGATCGTGTGGAATACGAAATATATTTCGATATCAAAATCTTAGTGGGATGTTAAATGTTTAGCTAGCTAGGGATCGTGCACGGATGAACGAACGAAAGTAACGCGACGACGTGGATACTTGACCACTAGCCTTCAGCTGAACTAGTCGATTTAAACAGTAATGGTCAGCATTCAATGTTGAGTGATGAATTCTGCGGGCTAATAATTTTAGGGAATTGTTTGCCTTTACAAGTTTTACAAAATGAATTCTCATAATCTGGCGTCTAGTTCTTCCTCTTGAGTACGTGGCCAATCCTAATAGGTGTTAATATTTTCTAATTTCACAGCACAATTCGACTACTGTATCAGTATCTCATGCTTTCTGGGGGCAAAAAGATGCCAAGCTTCTTCCATCTGCATCCAAAGTCGAAATATAAGAGTAATTTTGCACATTACTATTAATAACAAAAGAATCAATCATGTTTAGACACATTATAGCAACAGGATGTTTTAGTTTTTCTAGAGTAGCTTAGACTGTAGAGATTTAACCATCACAGCTTCGTTGATGTTAGATAGTTGGAGGCAATCAGCAGGAAGCCTTGGACCCAGGTTTCATGCTAGTTGGCACTCTTCAGTAAGGCATATCTTCAACCTTGATGGAATTCATGTGTCTTCTGAGATTCGAACCCGCGTTACCCAGTGCTGCAATCAGAGGTGTCACCACTGAATGTAACTAGTGTCCAATGAAAGTATCACGGCTTCATCTAATTTAAAGGGTTGCGGTTAAATACTGACATTTCGAGAAGAATGCACAAATATGATTTTTAATCGTTTTACTCGCATTTTTAATTCACTGGATGATAAAATACAGTTCATCATTCTATGGGTTATAAATTTTGATGGTAAAAGTTCACTGGGATTTCTCTTCGAAATTTAAAAATATTAAGATGAATATATATAATCTGCTTGATAATGTAAACGGTAGTCAAAAGAACAAGTAAATTGACAAAACGGTATAAATTACTGCTTGTCACCGATAAATTTCATCTTTTTCCGTCAACCAAAACCAGAAATTAAGTGTTTAGTGGAATGCTAGTTGATATCTATATGACTATTCTGTTCACTGGGATGTGCCTGGTGTCACCTTTACTTCCAGAACATGCACATCCCCAGCTATAAAAATGTACCACAAGTCAGAGTATTTTCAAGTTCTCAGAGACATCATCTGAAAATATTATAACAGGTGTTTATCTTTTTGTACAGAAAATCAGTAATTCTGATCAAATTTTCCAATAATGTGATGAAATGGAATCAACATAAAGTATATCATGTTTAATACAGTTGCTGGATGATGTGTACTTATAATTTACTTTATAGATAATTTATGATTTTCAAATGGGTGAAACCTGGTACAGCAAACCTTATAACTGCTACCAGTAGGGAGATGAAAAGCAATAGGGGACATCATATGCAAAATGCCTAAAGGAACAACTAAATGTTCTCGAGAATATTGTAATCAATCTTCCCTGTGTGAATGTATAACTGAATGTCTATGTTGACAATTGGCAGATAACACACAGAGAATGTTTGTGGTTGAAAATCTAAACGTCGCAGTAGAAGTATTTTTTTGAGTTGCAGTTGTTTCCATTTTTTTAAATATTTTTCATTTGGATTCTAGTTGTCATTTTCAAATAGTGTTGGAATAATAATGACTTACTGAGACCTGAGTTTAACCTTGTCCAACTAGTAATCTCCGGAAGATTTCTACGACAATAACCTAGGTTGTCTAGCTCAGTTAATCTACATTCACTTCATCGAGGAGTTATAAATTATAGCATATCTATGGATATGTATTATTCACTACTAATTAAGAATAAAGACGGCTATAGATAAACTTTTCCGTTGACTGCATTTACACCATTTATTTTGTATCTGCATTATGTAACTTCGGATAAACTTCGCGAAATGATGCTTTCGTGAAGTTAAATCGAAACTCGGTAGAAATTTATTTCACTGAATGTGTTTTGTGTTCATTAAAAAACAATCACAATTTACCATATATTGTTTTTTGAGCCATTCTAATTTTGTTAGGATTAGGTAATCACACGTTTTTCTAGTCTCTTATTAGAAGGGAAGATGTTTTAATGTGTTTTAAGCTTGGAGATACATATAACTAGTGAATACACATTTAAAAAAATGTATATATGTATTAAAAAGCTGGTTGAGTTGTTAAATATTGCATTATTTAATGCATATTTAAGTATTTCAAGGAGTAAGTCGTGTGTTTGATGTCGCGTTGCCATCGCAACTTCACTTCATCTAGATAACTAATCATGTTGTTGAATTTTCCGCATTCTAAGAGAGAGTAGAACGTGAGCAACTGCAGATGCACAATAAATAATGTAAATAAATCCAATAAGAAATTGTATATAAAACTAGGAGACAGAAATGTAGACTTCAGTGTACACACATTTATTTTTAGAAAGTTTTTTGATACTGATTTCCTATTATCTCCTACTGTCACTAAAGGAACGGTAATATTATAACTTACAGCGTAGCTGCAGGAATGGCAGAACATTGCTAGACAGGAATTTTTAAAATATTTCTATAATCTGAAATAAGAAGACAGAATATTCCCACGTGAGAAGGCAAAGTCACTTATATACATGGATCACCAGAACACAGTTATCACAGAGCAACCGAATACAGTTACGGTAAGAACCAGGTTGAAATATTTGACTGAATGTATGTTTCCATTATCTGTAATTTGTTTCGTAATTCCAAAGACCCGTGTTTACTGATTTCTAATTTTCTGCAATCTTTGTGAACTGTTTTTGTATAGCATAAGATTTGAAATGACGATATATTGCTTATTTATCTTTCACTTCTTAGTTATTACTGTGATCATGCTGAAAAGTTTGGATACATCTGATATTTATATTGCTATCATTACAAGGATTATATATTTAGAACTAGTTGAAATGATTTATTGGCTGATAATTTGTAAAAGTGATTTTTTGGTTTATTTTTATGAGCTATACTAATACATTCGCGTGATAACTAATAATGATTAGTTCTACTAAGAGTTAATAAAAATGGAAACTCTCCGAATGTGACATTATAAGTTTAGAGGAGGGAATAATAAAACAAGTGGTCTACTGGATAAAGCTTTGGCGCTTGAAACGATGGGTATTGTGTTCGAGTTTCAATGGGAACACAATCACTCACTCGGAATGCGGGTGTAGATGATGAGTTCCAAATAGGACAAAATGTCCAACCTGGATTCCACTGCTATTTGTCATCTATCAAATCAAAACAAATAAAAGTTGTATTGAAAAGATCAATGTGTCTAACTCTTAGATTAAGTTCTTAATTCGAAACGAATTGATTTGGCAGTGTTGTCTTCAAGACAGTTATTTATCCTACTCAGTATTTACTAATATGGTAGCATAAACTATAATAGTTCAGTGTGCATCAGGCTAACTCGTTCTCATATTAAAATGAGCAAGTTACCATGAAAACTCCTTGAATCAATGTTATGCAAGTACTGATGATAACTCTGAATCTGTTCTTCAGGATCTTGCAAAACACCCTTACTAATCAAACCTTAGGTAAGTTTACAATCATAAAGTTGTTAGAACTGATTGGCAACTTGCCTGCCAGCTCACGCAGGTGTCGAGAACAATGGTGGGGTTGGCTTTTATTTTTTATTTCTCTGGTAAACCGACACTCATACAGGTGCTTATTGTTTATTATAAGGTGCTACACGTAATGCACCCTTTTAAATGAGAGTTTCAGATGCACTGTATGATTTTAGTTGAATAGTGAAGTTTTATTTTCATACTGGACACCTATGTAAAAGCTAATTATTTTACTTATTATCTGGATCTATGAGGTATCAGTAAATCTTTGCAGTTGTAAGGATGTTAATTCGTGTGAAAAATCATCGATGAACTTGGATTTCTCTTTGAAGTGGAGGACAGGGTCTGGTGTTTGCTTCAAATGTTGATAATAATTCATTCGATTAGGTAGTGAAATATCACCAAAAATATGCTTTGCACATTCTGGAATGACAATAATGAGAAAAGTTGTTTTGTATTTCTGGCAGTAATATGTGATCAGAATAAACTATTGTTTAATGATTTCAAAAGATGTTAGTTACTTGTTAAGTGAAAGAGGAGGAGACAGTATAAACCATTGCATCGATTAATAAATAGTCTACATATATTGCAATAATAAAAGCATAATATCTGATCGGTTTTGGAATAATAGTTGAAGAGTACTGACATTATCTAAAGAATTTGAAGCTTAAAGTAATTTTGCATCTAATGAGGAATGTTGTGTTCAAATTATCTGAAAAATAATGAATATTGAAGTTTAAACATAGACCTCAGAAGTATTTAATCGGAAACTGTGTGCAGACTTGATCGAATCCAGTAGAATTCATTTGGGTACTAGCAGGTGATGTGGACTCATCACACCTTCATAAAGGTAATCCACAAAAGCAAGAGGTTATGAGGTAGTAGATTTCCAACTAATGTCCGTATGGCAATATACTCCCCGACAGTCATCATGCTGCTCAGCTTGATTCTGCATGGTGTCGCTTGTGCTGATTGTCTGAGAGTCTCACAGTGCTACCAAGTAGTTTTCCAGAGTTTCTTATTATTAAGTGGTTCTTTGTATAATCCATGTTTACTGCAGAAGTGCCAGTGAAGTATTTGAGTTCTTTTAACATTTCCTGAGAAAATTCATTTTAATAGGACAGGATTTCGGAACAATTGTAGTCGAAGACTAGAAGTGTCGCTCTTTAAGAAAAATCATCTAGCTTTTGATTATCAGAAACTGAATATCACCAGTTTGAAAGTTTGGCCATTGGTTATAAGAAAAGAAGATCAGAAGGCATGTGTAATGAATAAAAAGAGACTAGGGGTAACGGCAGTCAAACCTCTACCTCAACTTTATAGACTTTGAGAAGGCCTTCGACAGCGTTGACCGAGAAGTAATTTGGAAACTACTCGAGTACTACGGCGTACCCCAAATATTCATCAACCTTATTCAACAGCTGTACGACAACGGCACATGTCAAGTGATCCACAACGGAAAACTCAGCGAGGCGTTTGGAGTAAACACAGGAGTCAGACAAGAATGCTTATTGTCACCAATGATATTCCTAATTGTGCTGGTAGACTGGATTATGCGTCAGACAGTGGGAAACGGGAAGACAGGGATATCCTGGACCGACGTGAAGAACCTAGAAGACCTGGATTTCGCGCGTGAATGTTTTATGTTTCATGTCACACAAAATCGAAGACTTACAAGCGAAAACCGACAAACTGGTCGAAGAAGCAGCAAAGACAGGACTCCAGGTGAACATGGACTATACGGAGGTTATGAAAATAACCAACCAACAACAACAGCAGTAGCAACATCCACCGCCAATCACCATCAACGGGGGGGATTTGAAAGAGGTTACTTCATTCACTTATCTAGGGAGCATTGTCTCAACTACAGGAGGAACGGACGAGGATGTCAACACGAGAATCGGGAAGGCGAGAAACACATTCATCAACCTGAAACCAATCTGGAAATCTTCGTCACTCAACTCAGCATCAACAACAAAATTCGGATTTTCAATACAAACGACGTCAAGTCAGTCAGTTCTTCTATACGGATCAGAAACTTGGCGGCGGGTCACCAAGAATATTTCCAACAGCCTGTTGCAGACCTTTATCAACAACTCTCTTCGTTCTATACTGAAGATCAGATGGCCGGAAACAATCACCAACAAGAAACTATGGGAACAAACAAAACAGGAACCAATCGCCCAACAAATATGCAGGAGAAATTGGAGATGGATTGGACACTCGCTGAGGAGACCACTGAGTGACATCGCGCGTCAGGCCATAGCTCGAGTGGAACCCGAAAGGGAAGCGGCGAGTGGGGCGTCCAAGGGTGACATGGAGGAGATCGTGTGAAGAGGAGTTGAAACAGTATGGACTAACATGGATGCAAGTGAAAAGTACAGCAGAAGACAGAAGCAAGTGGAGACGTGTAGTTGAATCCCTTTGTTCCACTAGGAACCCAAGGGAACAATAATAATAATAATATAGGGGTAAAGTAGAATCACTTGTTGATAGTACGGGGATGACATTCATTCAAAGTAGGCAATTATATTATTGACTGAGTAAAATTAGAAGCATTTCGCGTGACTTTATCTCATTTATAAGCGTTTAAAAATCAGGCAGAAAGATATGACGAATGCAAATATTCATCATTTGACAGGTTCTTTTTGTCATAATATGAAAAAAACACTGATCGTATCCCGTCATACATCAGAAATTCAGTGTGTTTGTACTCCTTGTTTTACGGCAACAATAGTACAGAATAAAATAAGATAAGAAGATAAATGGCACATCAGTTTTCTGACTTTCGGAAGATTAAAGCTATGTGGTATGTTTCATCTCTTCACAACAAAACTAACCCAAGTATCGGGAAATGACTTTGCAGGAATTTTAATCTAACTGTCAACTTATGAATAGGTAGTTAAAATGTGATGAAATAGAGGAAATTCGTAGAAAGGTATCATACGATCTGGAAAGGTTTCACAGTCAATAGGATAAAAGACAGTATTTACGAAACATTCAAGTATTCTTTTTGAACTTTCACTGTGAAGCCATAAATGATAGGAAATCCCTTATTACTTAGTGCTGTTAATAAACAGTATTAAGGTAAGACAAGACATGATAATTTAAAAGTTGCCAGTTGCTAAAGTATGATAAAAATGAATACGTATTGAAAACAGCAAATTGAGAAAAGAAATGTAGTGCTTCTCGGTTATTTCCCTATTAAGGGTTTTATATTAATCTACACAGCTTTACACCAAAGTGGTGTCGATTGTATGATGACGTCAGTTAATAAGAATTATCGACTTTAAAGTATAGGAGGGATGGATGGAAATAACCAATCACAAAAGTCACGTCAATTTATTATTCAGAGTTAGTAGCAGAGTGTTAGTCAACAACAAGTGTAAACTTTGAGTTATCAGAAGGGTGAAAATAACTATGGAAATCAGGGTCATTTAATCTGTAGAGTTTAGCAAATGGGTTTTGTTTGATCGGTAATTTGTAATATAATGGTGAGGGGAATAGATGAATGAATTATGTAAGAATATCAAGACACAAATAAGTTAACTGAATTGGCTAAAATATTATTTTATTATTATTATTTATTATTTTATCCTTCACGTTCCCCAGTGGAACACAGGGCTTCAAGCTAGTGGCTTGAAGTTTCTGTAGCAGTGTTTATTTTTTGGTCTGACAATCATTGCAGGCAGGGTATTAGATAAACTAAATTGTTTTGTTTTAAAGGCTCTACAGGATCCTTTAGCCGACAAAGCTTGTTTCTACTTGAGTTTGTGGGTTTGAATTACAGACACTTTTATTCCTGCTTTGTTAAGAATGCTGCGTAAGGTTTCCGAGGTTCCTTCCTTGTATGGAATTACTACTGATGATTTAGATTCCTTATTGTTGCTGTTGTCATTATCTTGCTGATGTTTGACATGCATGTCGTCATTAATACTATTATTATTATTATCAATATCGCCGCTATCATTATTTATTTTATTTTTACATTTCCCTTCACATTTCCTAAATAATTTATCAGGGTAATTATTAAGCTCCAAAGCTTCTCTTGCATGCCTCACATCCTGTCTTAGATTTTCCTCGGTACTATTTAAACATTTCACCAATCCTACATTTTTCCACTACCCCTACGACAAATGGGAAAGAATAAAGAGGACTATGGAACGAAAGTTTCGAAGTTGTGTGATTATAATTGATGAAATGATTACGAGCAGTAATAAATTCTGTTCGAAACGTCATCCATTAAATAATACTGTTTCACTGTGTGATACATTTAATAAACAAATTAAAATGGAATTCATTAAAGTGTCTCTGCTTAGTGAAATGACTTAATTGAGTGAGGAATAATGTCGACCTTCATCTCATCAGTGGGGATTAATGCGATTAGCATTCATGTTATTCTTTCTCGTAAAGAAAAATTTCGCCAAGAAGAAAGTATGTTACTTATTTTATTCTTTTGGGTTGTCACTGGAACATAGGGCTTCAAATTTGAGCCAGGTTGAAGTTTCTGGAGCAGTGATATTTTGACGGGATGGGTCGCTAGCCGCACGCCCAGCCTTCCCAATCTTTATCCGGCTTATGACGAGCTAGGGGAGGTTAAGGCGTCTGCCGGCGCGGAATCGAATTCCGGACTACGTGCATAGTTAGCGGGCATTCGACCACTGAATCACCGATGCCAATAAGAAATAATAAGATTATTTTATTAATTCAGGAAATAACGAAGCTAATAAAGCATTAACAGCTTATATATACCTCATACAGTGAATAGTTCAACTCAGTAGATGAAATTCTGTGTGTTAGGGGGAATCGATGTTACATTTGATTAGGATAAATCTACACTTCTGATGCGATCCAAATATTACAGTCCAACCAATGTACTACTCACTTTTAGATAATGTAGTGTGGTTTTCTTCAGTATTTAGAATTCACCTTCTTTTGCGAAGTCTCAGTCTTGTAGCAGAAAACCAGACTTCCATAAACTATTTTACCACTGTTTTAAACTCCCCATTCTATATTTTATGTATTTTCCTACGTCTTATTCATCGTATTCTATTAGATGAGGTTCATTAAAGTCTACTGGCAATAATCGCAATACTTCCAAAACTAAAATGATAAATATGTATGCATGTAATTAGTGTTCTCTCGGTGAATGAGATATTTTACTTTTGTCTTAATTGTATAGACAACTAAACAGGAGGGTCGTGACTGGACAAACGGTTTATTCCAATGCACAGACAACTGTTCACTATGTAAGTCTTGGTTAATTGATAGATATAATGTGCAGACATATTATTTATTAATACACAAATCGCAGAGTTTCCTTCAATCATGGATTAACCGACAAATGCAGTTTGTTCCAGCCTACCACTTTTGAGATGTTAAGTGCTCTTCATACACTGAGTATTCCACTACTGTTGAATATATTTGATATATGTATTATTAAGTGTGTTTTTGTCAGAGTCCGAATCCTTTAAATCTTTTTATCAGACTTACTACTTGCAACAGAAAAGGACAACATTTTAATAAGTGGCATGGTATCTAATGAATGGTGCTGACTGTCTTAAAGTCCTGTGAAGAAAGGAGAAGACTGATGAATTAATTTCACAGTTTGTTTCGTTTATATAAACAAGATCACATATGTCGTCTTATGATAAAATCTGTTGTTTCTTATAGTGATAAGCTGAAGTATTCAGCAACACTTTCGTATGAAAATTGCACTTTATCAATTTAAACAGAGACAGAACAAACACTAGTGCAGAATAATATGGATCCATCCTATTTCGTTGGTGCTCTTCATCTGCATTTATTTCCCTTGATGAATTTGAATAAAGCAAGAACAGCAGTGGTTTGTGCAGAATAAGACGGCTTCTCATCAGCTGCTTACAGCCTAAATAAATTATGAGGTTTATGTACAGAAAAGTTTTAACATACTTGCAAATTTTTACATGCTGTCAGTTGACAGAAAGTTCCACAATTAGTGAACAGTGCTCAGAAAATTGCGCTTATATAGTTTTTACACAAGCAGTTCAAGTTTAAGCAAAATAGATGTATGCATACAATGGTAAAAGAGTTACGTAGTAAAGACGAGATGTGCGTTAGATGCAGAATGACTAATAAACTAGGTAACAATGTACTGAGTTCAACTCAAATCAAAGAAACAAGCGACAAGCGAAATTACAGATTATAAAAGGGCATGAGGTTAAAGACAAAGGTTACGTAATCAGATGAGAGAATAAAGGCTTCCAGTTACCAGGACAAGCAGAGACTGATAACTGCTTCTTTCTGAACACACAAATCTGGTTTCAAGCGTTTGAAAGAAATTGTTTCGCCAAACTTGAGGAGAATGGAGCTCCTTTGTCTATTGATAATTTTAAAGGATTTCTCGATTTCCACCTAATAACCCGTGTCGAGGAGATGTCTGGTAATAGCGCTACTATAAGAGTTTGTTCCCTTGAGACGTAGGCTTTTCGGCACATGTTCAGAAAATCGGAGTTGAGTTGAACTCAGTACATTGTTACCTAGTTTATTAGTCATTCTGCATCTAACGCACATCTCGTCTTTACTACGTAACTCTTTTACCATTGTATGCATACATCTATTTTGCTTAAACTTGAACTGCTTGTGTAAAAACTATATAAGCGCAATTTTCTGAGCACTGTTCACTAATTGTGGAACTTTCTGTCAACTGACAGCATGTAAAAATTTGCAAGTATGTTAAAACTTTTCTGTACATAAACCTCATAATTTATTTAGGCTGTAAGCAGCTGATGAGAAGCCGTCTTATTCTGCACAAACCACTGCTGTTCTTGCTTTATTCACAACCTCTTCATCTGAGTGCAGCCTATAGTATTTAAAAAAACAGCTACAGTAAATTTTAACATACACTTTGTTTATCATCATGAATCAGTCCTCCTGTAAGGATGGTTGTGAAAATGTCATAGTGAAATAACACATAAGAATAATCAGTGTATCTGAAAATTATTAGTATATATGTATTTTATAGCAGCAGAACTTCTGGTAAAAACTGAACAATTATTTTTGTCAGGGTGCTGATAAGTTAGTGATAATTTGGTAGTCATAGGAAATAAGGTGAAATGATTGGGACTCATAAGTCTGGAAAATCAAAATTTGGTGTTTACGAAGTCGAATGAAAAGATGATGATCTAATACAGTGAGTAGAATTGGAAGTATCAGATATAAACTCCAATATGAAAGTTAGGCGAAAAATGGTTCGGGGTCTGAAACAAACTGATCAAATCAAAAGAAACCCAATAGTTGCTCACTACCGATGAATCCCAAACTAGGACGAAACAACTGTCCAGTACTCCCTGGTACTCAATGGTTCTCTGACTAATATCAATCTGTGCTCGTACTTGAAGCAAAAGACAAACAGTTAACGAGGAGAGAGTTCCATGATGGATTCCTTTTGAACACATCGGTCAAATTCCATTCATTTTATTGTGATAGATTCAGCAAACCGAAAATATAAGAATAAAACTCGGGTACTGTGACACAGTATAATTCCATTATGGATAAAATTTATTTTGATAAACTCACCCACTGTTGTACAATAATGTTTACTGATGATGTTTCGAGCACAATTTGTTGTTCATAATCATATCAAGATTATACTTCAAATTGAAGTATGCTCTGAAGATGTTGCCTAGTAGGACAATGAAAGCCTCGCAACTACAACTACATCAAATTTGTGTAACACTGTGTGACTTTATCAGAATAAGTGTTATACATAATGAAACCGTAGAAGACTTGGAGCATTTTTTCCGTTAATTACTTCGAATGCTTTCAGTGCGTCAACTTGGCTTCCCCTGCCTAACTGATGTTTGGTAATTGGCGAGCTAAAAATATCCTGTCCTTTTTAATGGAGTCTCTTTGATAAATGTTCAAAGAATCTGACATAGGCCCTTTTCTCTGTTTACCCGATGTGACTGCTCCCACACTTACACGGGAATATCATTGGTTGTGCTTAGGTGAAGCGAACCAGCCAAATAAAATAGATCCGTATTATTCTGCACCAATGTCTGCTGTACTTCTGTTCAAATGTTTCTTTTGAACATAACAAAAGACATTCATACTACTAGGATATTTTGAGCATAGATTAATATTAGAAGCATTAAAATTTACCCACAAATTTCACTTTATCGGTAAACGTATTGAATAATACTCTATAGTTTTAGGGGGACAGACAATCATAGATAGAGACACTAACTCAGATCGCCTCTGGTTACATGTGCTGTTCCGGAGGCACATTTGTTTTCGGTAGATATTCTGATTATTTTACTCAACAATCAGTGTCGTTGTTTTTTAAGAAGGAATACAAATAGCAAAAGGGAAAACTTGAGAACGAGTATATACTCGCAAACTGTAATGCTCACAAGTACTTCACAGTTGTGTTTAAGCCAAACACTGAAGTATGAAATGTCATTATTTATAGCCATTGTAATTTCAGGTAGTTTGCAGGTGATGAGAACCTGTGAAATAGAATGATATCATTTTATACGGCAAATCTGGTCCTTCTTTCTCTGTCGAAATTGTCAATTTTCTTCTTGACTTAAATAAAACGGGCTTATTTTCCCTCTTTTTCCAAGTAAAATTTGAAAATTTAAAACATAACTAGTGTACTTGTCTATTTTTCGCCTTTTATTCATCTTGACTGTATGCTTCTTTAGTGAATTCCAACTCCATTTTAAAAGTATGCAGGTTATCGTGTTGTCATTTATGTGTCACATTTTTCCTGTAGAGATTAGTGGATATCATCGTACACGTCGATCTTAGAAAATGAATTTAAGCAGTTTAACTATAATTTTAAGCATATGAATTAATCTAAAGTCGTTACTATCACGAAGATTTTGTGGAAACTTATGTTGTTGTCTACTTGGATTTCGGTGAACATAACTGTTTACCATTATTATTGAGTGACTACTGTTAAAAAATAGTAATATATATGCACTGTAAATAAATCTCTTCATACTGTTCACACTAGAAATGCTGCTTTTATCGCTGTTTCCATTTTTCTTTCAGGTTGGTTAGTGGCATGTTGTTTTCCATGTTATTTATGTTACATGTACAAACTGTCAAACGAATCGTGTTGGTTACCAGTTTTTGGGTCAGGTCCGATGTATCTACGTATAAAACATCGTTTCAGACATAGTATTAAAGTAAGTGTGGGTTTTATATGGAAAATAAAGCTGGAGTTGTATTAAAGTACACACAAATTTACAGAGGTATAATCTATTATAACACTTCATAGATGTAGTCATTTACGTCATCACTTCTTTCAGATAAGTGCAGATTTTGCTTCCAGTGGATCTTCAAATGATTTCAGACGTATCTAGTGTAATGTTATTTAATTTACTGTCTTTAGTTTTTATAACTATCTGTAGTGCTGAGGAGCGTCGCTAAGTACGAAGCCTAATGATAATAAACCTGAAAACCTTCAACTGTATACATAAGTTAATGCTGTTGATGTTGTTTCATGTTCCAAAATTCTATTACAGTGTTCATTTATTTTGTGAATATTACTTAGTGGCAAAAAATATGACAGGTGTCTTAATCCTGAACATTAGTGGGTGAATGGCATTACGCTCTCCAGATGTGTCAGAGGTCCGAGTTTGATTCCCGACTGATGCATTCCTAAACATTGTCTAGCTGTTAGTAAGCTTGAAAAAGAGGAAAACATAGGAGTGAAACTGGCAACTTCACCCCGTAGAAAGAAGGCTACCAGTGAAACTTCATAAAAAAGCTTGAAGGCCTATGTTTCACATATCTGAGTGTGTGCCTGTATGTGTGAATAGTATCCACCTGGATGTTCCTCAAAAGACTTATAATAAAACTTACAAAACATGAGACGACATTTTTCCGAATTTCGATTTACTATACCCACTGATATGTAGTGTAAAAAATTATTTATTAATGATTATTGGTAGAAAAAGTCACCTTTTGATAATCATTCACCGAAAAGCTCAAGTTTATTTTTCTTATTTAGCATCATTTAGGCTTATTGTTAATTACCATTTCTCTCACTGTTTTGCATTTATAGGGCACATTGCTGAATGACTGGTGTGTTTCAACATTTTGTTCCTGTTGTACAACGTGTCAACTGAAGAAAGATATGGACTACATAAAATCACTTGGTGAAGAAATTTGATGTGGTCGATTTTTTTTATTGTATCATAAGTCAAATAAACTATTAGACATTATAAACCTCATTCTTTTCTCTACTTTATTATGCGCATAATGCGTAGTTGTGTAAAAGTACAGTTTCTAAAATAAACCATAACAGATTTCCATTTATATTTAAATAACAATATTTATTCCTTAGGGAATTGATACTACAGAAATGTTTGCTTCTGTCTGACTATTCTGTTTCACCTAGTGAATCTTCAGTAGTTATGTAGCTATACTTCGAAGTTGTTCGTCAGCGGATTGATTTTTGAAGCTTATACTTACTATTCAGGCTAAACAACTGATATTTTATTATCCCCTAATTAAGATGCATTGGGCGTCCAGATATTTCACTAAATCTTATCAAAGTAGATGGAGGTAGCAGTGGTGTTATTGGGAAATATATATATATATATATAGTATAAAACATTTAGTAATCAAATCTTATTCTACTATATAACTAAAAGTTAAGGTCTACTTGGAGGAATATGATTATCTTACGCGTTACAGATGATTTGTTTAGTGGAACATCTTTGTAAATTTGGGTGACCAACTCTTCCCTTTTGTGCATGTAATGAAGAAATTATTCAAAATAGTGTAACTTAAGGCAAAATATAATCAGGCAAACAAGAGGTGAATCTTATTTTATGACTACTCTGATTGAACAGCAATTTTTACAGTAACGATTTTGTTTAAGCAACTATGAACTCTGTAGGGATGTAAAATTAACGTTATTCACAGTGAAATGCATCACCGGATATTTTAAATGGGTACAATTTTTCAAAAACTATAACTCTTCTCTTCCTTAAGGATTTATAAGAGCAAATTTGTACTTATAATATGATTCGTAGTTTAAAATTTTTTAAAACTCATTCTCATAGTTTTGAGCGGTCTATCTGAAAAATAAATTTATTTCTTCAGATTTTTGAATGAGTTCAAACAGATCCAAAGATTTTATTTCCGCCTGCTAAATACTATCGAGAGAAGATTGCAACAGATTATTTATAGTTAATGGAATGGTTAGTCGTATTGATATGGTTTACTTTCTAACTGAATATGTAATTACACTTATTTGAGGTTACTTTTCAGCCATTGCAATACTGAGTGATAGTATTACCAACTTAATGATCTGCCGATACTTCTTTCTGCCAAGGATTCTGGATGGGTATGAATAAAGAGTTCTGTTACTAAATACCTGAGATGTTTGCACTGCAGCTGAAGACATCATTTTTAATTCATAAAAAAGTCACAATTTGTCACATTAAAGATTTGTAAGAACAGAGAAGACTTTACTTGAAGCATTTTACGGCCGTTCTGAAGATGTGAGTATCTAACTGACCCTATTAACGAAACACGTATTTGACAATCTTTTGAGACATTTTCACTTCGTCTAACCATGAACTTATGTATATATATTTATATTTTTAATCCATCTCTACCTGCATATTTTCTGGGTGATAGGTTATTGGTTAGTTTGTTATCGGAATTCCTTGCTGCTAATACTTTCTAGACATCTCAACTTAAGTATGGAGTGAAGACAGGTCTTGATCAAAGTTTGCAGACTACTGGAAGCGCTTGTGGTGATGCGCGCCCAGTTTCTGGACCACATAGAAACAATGACTTGATATTAGTATTACAAATTTTTAGTCTTGCGCCTTATTTTGAGTGAAGTAAGTTTCCACACTGATTCCAGGATAATGAACACTTGTCTTAATTTCCTGATCCTGGCTTTGACATCCTCATCCGTGCCATCTATAGTTGAGACAATGCTTCGAAGTCATGGAAGTGAAAGAGAAGGATTTCTTTACATCTCTTCCATTGATGGAAATGATTGTTTGTAGTTGTGGTTTAGTTATCTTCACATCATAATCTCGCTAGGGATTTTCTGTAGTTATGTCATTTTTTGTACTGAATGCACAATTTGTGATAAGCAGCAAAAATAAACAGAAACTAATTCTGAGTTTGAACTGTCATGTTAGGAAAAGTGTGTTCATTTGACATAAGTGGTGTGAACGTATATCGTTCATCTAAATTGTGAGAATGAGTCACTGCTAATTACTGAAATAAATACTTGAATTTCTCTGATGTATCAGCCGTCACGTTTTAGCAGTTTTTCTTCCGATGATGTGGAGTAATTCTTTGGTACCATTTGACTTATTTTATCCAGAGTTATTCGTTGCTTAGCTTCAACTGATTTATCTAATTATTTTATGAATGAAAATATGATTTCTGGTAGTATACACCTTGAAAAGTTTTAAAAATGTGGTGTTTTTCAAAAACTAATCGTATTTCTTCTTATTTTACTGTTTACAAATAGTAGTTTCAGCACTAATAATCAAAGATATGCTACTTTTAATACTGAGTTTTAGGGTTTCAAGCGATAATGACCGATTAACAGGCAAATAAGAATGTCATTTATTTTCACTTTTGTTATCTAGCTCACAAGAATATTTTCTGTACGGCTTATCCCTCAGTGACTTGAATAGTTTTGAAAGAAGATAATGAGTAAATTGTTATGAAAATCTGAATCCCAACAGTACCGATTTCTAGATACCTAGTGTTGTTGATTATCTTAGTTTTACTTAAACTACTGATGATTTTATCACACTATGTGAATGAATAATATGAATATGTACATTATTCACCGCAGTCGTCAAGTGGTCGACTAAGTTTCTTTATCTCAGTTTAAAAGTGTTCTGAATGAGGCGAAGAAAGTGTTTGGTTGGTTATCATATCTGACGAACCTATTACTAAGGTCTTTGTTGTAGTGTACGTTTCTATTTCAAATCAGTCGATTCAGCATAATTAAGTTTTCAGAGATGAAATTGCCAATATCAGTTTTTCTCAAAATAGCAAGGGTGGCAGTAAAAATAGTGGTATGCTTGGTAAAACACCTACTACAGAAATAGACACATGCATAAAATTCAAAATCTGCTGGAAGACTGTGAAGTGATATTCTAGTCTTAAAGAGATCATCAACGGGTTAGTCATAAAACCTCTCTGTCACAAAAATGTCAGGAAAAAACATTGGAGAAGGCATACAAAGGAGCTGACGAATGGACAGTAGTCAGAATACACGCAAAATGACCAGGATTTTGATCTCCAATAAAACAACACCACTTCATTTACTGAATGCCATTTTTCTTAAAACCATGATAAATTTAGGATTAATCAGGTTGAATTACATTCTTCAGTATATAGAATACTTGTTAAGTAAATGAATCGTATTTGACAATAAATTATCTTAAATTAGAATGAATGCTTCAGTTTTATGAAACGCTACTTGGACTTTAAGTTTGATTACGGACTGATATCAGTTATAGAACGACTGAAACAGGAGAGTTCTGCATAGTCGTTTCACCCTAGTTTGGGACTCTACAGCACTACACATCCAATACCCTACTGAGGATTGATGGCTAGTTGTACTTTATAAATATCACCTTAGTAAGAGTGAATTAATATCAAAGCACAATAAAATATCAAAACTAACGGATACATCACCTCATACGTTATTAAAAATGTGATGTTCATTGGCGATGACCTTTTTTATGCAAGAGAAATTTAGTTCTCATCAGGTGCGTTTTTCTTCATAAGAAAACAAGAGACGAATTATTTATGAACCACTATTATTCTACTAATTAAAAATAAGTTTTTTAAAATAATAACTTCTTAAAACTCAGTAGAAAAAAATGTGATATAACATAAATATTTAATTTTAAAGTAACCAAGGAGTCGGTGATTAGTTCAACTTACATATTTCAATTAATAAAAAGGTTAAAATGAAGAAATGTTTTGATTGTTTTTATAAATAAAGAAAACAAAAAAGAAGTTACTTTTAGGAATAATAAAATTCAAAGTTTGTTGAAAACAGAAATCTTGGTTTGAGTTTTTAAAAAGTAGTTGAAACTTTTGAACTTTTATGTTGTCTTCATTTAAACATCGATTCTGTTTGATCTGATATTGTCTAAATCACGTTTTAGTTGACAAACAACTAATGGTGCACAAAAGCATGAAATACAGAAGTCTTTCAACAAAGTTCCCTAAAAAAAATCGAAAATTGAAATTGGTGAAGAATAAGGAATAATGGTTAGATAAGTAACATTAATCTATATTCAATTACAGTCACTTGTTGACTATGCAGAGGATTTTGAAAGTCATGTGCCCTGGAAATTACTGAAAAATTCCATAATTTTGGAAGATAATTGTGGTACGGTTAATCGTAAGTTGTCACTGAATCTTGGATATTACCAGCCGCTGAAAGTATCTGATAAACTCTGTTAGCCTTTAAACTCCCTTCCTAGATGTTTCGATGTCTTTTTTAGACTGAATCTAGTTGCAGTTTTACTAGATACAAAGTGTTAGATGAAAGATGAGGTTTTCGTATTATTTGGAACAGGCCAACTGGATCGAACAGCATCTAAGTGTTTTACTGTATGCGTTAAGTAAAATTCACACTAATTTGTCTAGTAGGTGGCGCTGTTACATTTGATGAGATGCCCAAGTAAAGACATGAACATAGAAACAGGCTTAGCTGACGAGATACGAAACAAGTTTCTTCTTTTTCACTGTTTGTCACTATGATATTCTTACATAAGAGTATACTGTTTATTTATGATAGTGATACAGTAAGATTTCATTAATGGGCAATTAGTTGACTAGGTTTTCTTTTATTGCAGATTTGGGTAATCCATGGTTCTGAAATTTATGCCATCAAATGTATGATAATAATTTTAACTGAGTCATTTAAATTATTTATTACTGTTCATATATTTATCTTAAGGATGAAATTGTTATTCGAGAATGCTTATACCCAACTTGGCTGTTTTCACCTAACATCAAACACATTCATCTAACTATTTGTCTGTCTGCCTATTCAAGTGTAAATTTTATTTGTGATCTAAAATATTGTAATATATTAATTATGTGGAATGGCTGTAAACGAATGATAGACCAACTGAAAACCACTAGTTTAGGGTAGTCACCTCAGAGGTATTCACTAGTCGATTCGATTCAAAGCCAGTTTCTCTTCTCTTTTACTT